TCAGGTAAAATACGGTTCTGACAACCAGACAACGACAACTTAAGACATACTTCAGACGTCATTTGTCATTATCCAACAATCCGTCGGATTTAATTTGTAATGGACGTGATGACTCGATACAAATTTGTTTTTACTGCCGAGAAAGGGGATTAGGCTTAATATTTATATACAGGTCAAGTCTAAGAAAGAGTAAGAGGGTTAGTACAAAGTTTCCGAAAATGCTTTTAGATCGGTTTGCTATAATATATATTTCAAAGAAATAATCCCATTGACCTATATAAAAAATTATAACCTTTATAAATAAATATACTAAATAATACAAAGAAATACTGTTAAAAAATAATACACACTGAACATAAACAAACATCAAACGGAAACAAGAAACAAAATAGGGTTATGATTGAAGATGGTCTCTTCTTTTTTATATTTAATACAGTTTTCATTCAATGGGTCTGTCAATCAGCAATGAAATAGGCCAAATATATCATCTTTCTTGCACTTATGTTTGCGCAGATTTTAAATGGTTCCACAAATTGCGCGTGAAACATATTTGCTTCTTTTATTATCTTATGTTGATCTAATAACTCCATCACTCTCTTTCGTAAACTGAATAGGTCTATTAGCAAATAGCGATTATGAATATGAAATAATAATATGATAATAATAAATTATTATGAATATAATCTATATGAATATATCTAATACGATTATGAATATAAATAATAATATGAAAACTACACGTGTCTGTCACGCTCAACTTTTAATTGAGCGCAGTTCGGGCGGGATTTAGAGGCTTTTTAAAACAAATTTCGCTCAAAGTTGCGCCGCTTAGAGCGCCGCGCTACACCCGAAACTTTTCAATTTGATATCGATATCAAAAACAGATATCCACGTAAAATTTTAAATTAAAAATAAGGCTCCCCCTTATCGGGCGAGCAGGGCCGATTTGAAGATTTTTAAATTCCCTTCGCTTTTTATCTCAACTATTCCCGAGCGAGCGAGCGAAAAATAAAGGATAATTTACTTGTATAGTTAAATTAGATGGGAAAATTGGTATTCCCGCTCGTCTGCTAAAAAAAACCTTGACCGAAAGTTCCATGACGAATTTCTTTCCATTGTTAATTCAAATTACTTCGGGCCACTTCTAGTCCATTTCCGAGGTAATTAGATCGGGTTGCCGGTCCTGCAAAGAGGCCAGTGCGGAATAAGGGAAGAGGAGAGAGAGCATTCCAATTTGAGAACAGTATTTATATAGAAGCTCGAATTCGGTGCCTTCATTTTATAACTTCCAGCGCTCCTCTAACTTTTTTAATAACATGTAATTCCTTGTTTAAGAGGAGATTGTGTTGCACTATGAATCGAAGGGTCTCCCGGCATTCGATTATTAAATTCGAGAAGGCAAATTGAGATGGTGCGTATTATAAGGAACAACCTGGCGCATTAATTCAGCTAATGCATTCGAGCTTCCATCGCTGTTCTGTACAGTATTGTAGACGGCATTAGTTATTGATCGACGGTGGGTACATCAATTGCGACCGCAAATCGGGAAAACCATTCAATGCGATTGAAGATAGACGCCTAAAGGGCCGAAAAAATCAGAACCAGACACTTTGCTTTCCGAGGTTTTTTCACACCGGGATCGTTTCGATGCATCGACGGTCACTGCTGATTGCTTTCGGATGAACAAAGCGACGATTTCTATGCCGAAGAACGTTTCTTTTACCCGATAAAACACCTATAAATCCACAGGAGCGGCTTCGGAAATTTTCCACAAAATTTTACAACAAACTAAAACCGCCTAAATTAATCAATAAAATCAAGTACAAATCACAAATAGTTATCTGTTATTGATGTTAAATAGTGGTGGATTAAAAATGTAGGTTTTCCTGCGGACGGTTCTGTAGTGAAATAACATTAGGTTGCACTCCCTTCATTGTTATAGACTGCCGGAAAAAACGTGTCGGGAAAACTTATTTTTTCAAATGAGTTGTACTCGGCTGGGATGTATGGCGAGAACGATGGAAATGCGCCCGAAGGGAAGCGTTTCGGATCCGGTTTTATTGAAGATAATACTTCCAGATTGAAATGTATTGCCATCCGACGGGCATTAGTTGGTATTTATAAACTCCCGACGATATTACGAATAGTGTATTCCGCGCGCCATGCCCATTGTAAGTAAAAGGTGTAGCTTTAAAGCTCTACAGCTGGAATAGAATAGAAAAATTCGCCGTGTTTACCGGCGGTTGTATTTTAGCCAAATAAACTCGAACTTAATCCCGAAACCGATTTCGACGACGAAAGAGAAAAAAAACCACTCTATTCCGTTGTATGAAACGTTTGTGCGCGGAAATAGAAACCAGTCGGACCCTTTGAATCAAATTTTCTCCATGAAATGTTTTCTAAAATATCTAATACTTTCACTTTGATAGATACCATCGCAACCGCCGGCGCTTTTCGGTTTAACTTTACAACGCTTCAAAGAAATTAACCCAACCCATTGTCTGACCATAACAGACGCTGCAAAACCCAAAATCCATAACCTAACTGGACAATATCCAATATATTAACTACTTCCTTTGTTAACCATTTCATACACAGTGTAAGGTGAATGAAAATGTGAATGAAAATGGTGAATTCATCAAGTAAGTTTGTTACAATCTGGTAATATTGATTTGATAAATTTATTGACTGTTTAGGAAATATTTTTTGGTCGTCTTTGCATGTAGTAGGGACCACGGTGTATGTGTAACTGTGATCTGTCTAGCGGAAAATCCGGAAAATCTCCATAAAGCGCGAAAGTGCCGATGTAAAAACAATGTACGCTCAAATTGTATTGGTTATTGCTTATTGTTCCATATGCAACAGTTGAATTCGATGAAAACGACGTTTCGGCTTTATACGTGTATTATTTTTTCTGCTTTCATCGTTGCTTTTTTGCATCAGTCGGTGTTCGATTTGTACCGAGCTAGTTTGAGCACAACGAGCGATTTTTTTCCACAGTTTTTTTTTGTTCCACAAGCGCGGCGTTTTCTTTTTTTGCAAGCAGGACGTCTCGAAATGAATCAAAATTCGTCCGTTTGTTGGTTTTTTTCGAGGGAATATCGAATGGTAGGAAAGGAGGAATTTTCATTTATTTTTCTGATGGATGTCTGTCTGAAATAACCGGCGTATCTTTCGAGGACCTTCGGCAATCTGTTGTTTCATCCTTGCGAAGAAAAACAAGGGGAAAATTGCCGACGTATGTTTGCGCCGCTCTCGGCTCACATTTCAAATAGAGCTCCGGTCCCCGCGAAACGGAATTTTATAAATAATGCACAATTCCGCTGAATAATTTAAACCGGCAAAAGAATTACCTACGGTGATTTCGGGAAAAACGTTTACGATCTTTTATTATGTATCCACTAAGATTCCTCTCGGCTGTTTTACTGCCCGGCCTTTTGCAGTTTGTTCGCGTGCGAGCGAATAGTTTGCAGGAAATACATTTAAGAAAGTTCGACTCTTGAGATCCTCCAAAAAGAACCGCACGAAATATGATGAAATATTTAGAGAAAAATAGCAGTTGTGTAATGGATTAAACTTTCAAAACTAACCATTTTCAAAAGCTTTGGTAAAAGTTGATCTGCATCAGACAAATCCCGATACTTTCCACTCGCTATATTGAATATTCAACCATAGAGAAAGAAAGATGACTTTTATTTTGTCTATGTATTCAACTTCAACTAATACATTTATTTGTTTACCGGTCAGTAAAAGACCACTTTGTGTATGACAGTTGACAGATGATGTGTCTGACTTCTTGTTTTTGTTTTGTTGATGTTTTTCTTTCTGCCGTTGCAGTTTAACGAGTTGTAATTTGGATGTTCTTAATAAAGATATTTATACAGGGTGTTTCCTAAACATGCGGCAAAAATTCAGGGGGTTGTTCCTTGGACTATTCTAAGAATATTTTGTCCCTTGATGATTTTTGAAAAACCTCTTTGTTTCGAAGATACAGGGGAAACAAAATTTAAGATAATAACATTTTATTATGAAAAATTACATGAAAATTTAACTTAACCTACAAAAACTGTTGAAAATGACCACCTCTAGCCAGCATACAAGCATCCAATCTTCTCCTCATCCCCTTCTTTCTCCTCAGTTTAATCCGTATTCCTTTACCATCTGAACTTATCAATTTTAAGTCAAAAAACTGGCCGTTTTTAGTAATTGGAATGTTGTTAAACAAATTTAAAAATAAATTGTACCTACTTAGTGAACACAGTGCGGTACGCAGTTTTATTTAAATAACTATTATTAATTTTAAAAATATGAAAAATGTTCGCCCTGTATCTTCGAAACAAAGAGGTTTTTCAAAAATCATCAAAGGACAAAACATTCTTAAAATAGTCCAAGGAACAACCTCCTGAATTTTTGCCGCATGTTTAGGAAACACCCTGTATATCAAATAAAGTCTAACACGCTAATTATTATCCTTCGAGAGAGCTTTTTGCTCAAGTTCAACGCTCTCTAGCTTTCACGTTCGGAGTGAATGTATAGTAAGTTGTAGAAGTAGGTACGAGTGATCATCACAACGACGATACGCTGCTATATATAGGAAGGTTTGGCCTCGTGTTCTGTTATACTACTCGAAAACTCACAAACAAGTGATTACTGTCGATAAAAAAAATAATAGTCGGGCGGCTTATCCAGAAATGCGCGGTTTTTAATTGATCGTCGACTCCAATTTGTCGTTGGAGTAATTATGTATGAAATTGGCGCGCTTCGCGATAATTAAAAAAGTAACAAGTCTCTACTAATTATCGTAAAACACCTGTATAATAGCAGAAATGAATTATATTACGAGTTAATTACTCTATTAGTGAGCTTATGTGATGTTTGAAGTTATTGAAAAAAAAAATCGAAATTGTTATCATTTGGCGCCTGACTATAAAGTCTCCAAGAGGAAACTGATATAAATTATTCAAAGTTGTTGTGTTTTCGCGTTCAGATTTCAGTAGGTAGGTAACTTCGATTACGCGGAGTTAGTCTAGTCAAGTAGTCAATTTGTATCTATAACTTCGATTCGTTTTGTGCTGGTCTTGTACTCGTATAAATTGTTATTTTCTAATTAAATTGTAAGTATACATTTGTAATTTTTTAAATAAACTCATCTTTGGATTACAGCCAAAACGCGGACTTTTATAGTCGTTTTATTGGTAGGAATTTTGTATTTTTATATTAGTAAAGGTCCCAATAAAATTTATCTTATCTAAAATTATACAAAAAAAATATAGACAGTAGGTAAATGTAATTTAAGTTAACCGCGAATCTGATAAGATACCTCATTATATTCAAATCATCCAATTGTTGAAAATGTTTCCATTTTTTTCTATATTTACTGGCTACATTTTCTAATTGGTCATTTAATTAAATCAATCTAATTTTAGACTAGTAGGATGATGCAACAAGTGTTTAAATTCTTCACTTCGCGGCATTCATTTAATATTTTTTTAACATCGTAAATAGAAGGTCAGTCAGTAACAAATTTCCTTTCAATCCGAGTAGCATCGGCAAAAAAGGATTGAGGCCATTTTTTGATTTTTTTTACGACATTGAAAGTTGTGTGCGCGTTTCATCCATGTGTATTCATTTATTAAAGTGCTACCCGCGAGAAATCCCCTACCTACATATCCTCAAATATTGGTTTATAGAATAAATTTACATAATACACGTGTTCCATCATGCATGGGGGAATATACTACGTTATTTGAATATCATCCGACATGTAAAAACGCGGTATTTGTTCATGTAATTTAAGATTAATTTCGATTAATAACTAAATGACTCGTGGAACCATTCTAGACAATTGTGGAAATGTTTAAATCGGGAATATTGAATTAAATTACATGTTGACTCTGCGTGAAACTGATACAGCCACATCGAGTAATACGATTTGATCTTATCGCAATTATTATTTTATATAAGGTTAGTAAAGTCAACGTTAAATTGGTTGTACATTGCTCGAAGATATTTAAAAAACTTTATTGCAAACATATAATAAACTACAAGATGGATCTCATTCACAATCTCCGTGTGATTTGAAGCACATTTTAGCAGATTTTAATTTTTAAAGCGAGCGAATTTTTGACTGAAATTCCGCGTCTTCGTCAAATATTTTCCTTGCGGAGGCCGATCTAGAACAATCCGAAGTGTAAAAGTAGCGAAAAAGGAAAACTGGATCTACATCAATCCAACTTTCCAACAAACTAGGTGCTCTGTTTATTTTTCATTAAAAGTATCATGGTGGTATTCAAACGAGTTCGAGCATGGGCGTTCTTTTAAGGGCAGAATTTTCTTTCATTTCCAAGCAATTTCAATCAATCGTAAAATGCATGGAAACTTTAAACAAATAGTTTCTTGTGTACCAACTCTTGCTTCATCTCAGTTAATCTAGATCAGTTTTTCAATCGGTTATTGGTTAACGATCTTATACAGGGTGTTTCATTGGGATAGGGCAATATTTTAACCCTATATAGAGGTCACCCAGGGGATTACAAAAAACCCATATACTATGGGTCTTGTGCCCTTTGTAACCGAGTTACAGGGTGTTTTTTGAATTTGGTCCATTTCTTACGATACCTATAACTTTTGAATCACTCAGTATATTTTTTTGATATTTGGCATAGATATTCTATACCTTTAGGACAATTTGTTGCCACATTAAAAAATTACAAAATCCAGGTCCGGATTTAGAAAAATTATTGAAATTTGACCGACCCTAAAACAACACCCTATACATCATATTTTTTAAAATTGAATTTCAAATTTAGAAAGAGCATAAACTTGTTATTTTCCCGCATGCCATTTTTCTACCAAAATTTACACGTTAAAATGTACATTATGAGATTTTTGGTCCATGTAAAATGTAATTGAAGGGATTTTAATTATTTTTTCTTTAATAAAACCAGATTTACTTAACACTTTCATGGAAATTCCTGAAATAGACCTATTGAACTTGAATTAACATTCACATAAACCTATAAAAATTACAATTACAGATCCGCACTTAATAAAATTAAAATGATTTCAATTCATTTAATAATTAATCATTGATTAATCAATTTTTACATTTCTACATGAGAAAATTCAAAACTTAACTATGTAATTTATTAGCTTCTGTATATTCAATTATTACTTAATAAAATCCTCTTATATTGCATATATTACAGCAATTTTTGAAGTATCTTGTTCGTTTCGTAGGCGCTACTGCTGGATAAATTCATTTTGACGCCCCATCGGCTGGCTATCGGAGGTGGCGAAGATTTTGCCAAAGTCGGAAAGAACTTGTTAAATTAAGAACTACAAACTACTGTTTTTTTTCTTCCGTCAACTCGGTAACCACTTTAATTTCATGCATCGAAAGTTGCGGGAAGTTGAGCGAAAGCTCATATTCGGAATAATGATTTTCGGGTAACAACTAAAGAAAATATAGGTGGAAAACTGGCGCGGATTAGAGCGGGAATAATGCTTTATGTTACGAAATATTAGGAGAAAATGGAGGTAAAATGCGTTGCGGATGCAATAAGTACGTGTGAAAAGGATTTTTTTATCCAAAAAAAAATAGGTGAGGGATAAAGGAGAAAGAATCGGAGAAGAAAATGTTGGATTATATTTTTTATAAAAATAACACATAATCTACACGGGTTTCCTTACTAAAAATAGACATTAAAAAATGCCCACTCATTGGAATAAATCGCAATAAGATGATTATTTAAATTTTAAAAATATGATAATATTCCAGTAATTATTTCTGTCTGGTCTTGACCGTGAATCGGCGTTAAAAAAACATAAATAAGATTAAATAAACTTTCTACAGTCAACTCAAACTAAAAATAAACCTTATTATAGTTACGTATCGCTGGTTAAAATTTCGTTCGAAATTCATTCCATCTGATTAATCTCCATTACATTTCGAAAATACACAGTTTCATTACATATGCATACATATTGTCAATAAAGAGTAGAGGTTAACGTTCTTTATCAACGCATCAGGTCGTGTTAATGACGATATTCAAAATCTTTTCAATGCAAATATTCATTTCAATTTACAACACTTTTAACTAGCGCACAGTAGGTAATTTTATTTGAATCGATAAATACCTATTTGTTATAAGAAAACCGCCATTCCGGTTGAAAGAATCGCAAGGGTCAAGGGAGAGCTTTGGGTCGAGCATTTAAGGGATAATTTCATCAAATGTGAAGACCCCGCTGCAAAATAATTAAAGGCCTTCAGTGTAACGAGGTAAATGTCGTGTGCCTCATGGCTAAATATCCAGCGGTTGAGGGATGTTATATTCAATTAAAATCATTAGTAAACTAATATCCAAACGGCTCTATTTTACAAGTTATAATTGTTATCTAAAGTTTGTTAGGTGCGAACTTGTAGATTTATCTTCCTCCTCACCCCGTATACAATCATAAAAACGATATGCACATGCATTGTTAAGCAAAAGCCATGCATAACATTTTACTGGAAAATGTATCAGGAATAGCCGGGGCATCTCGACGGTAATCCTCCAGGCCTTCTCGACCATGAATAATTTATATTGTGCCCTGTGTATGCACATCTAAAATCATTATTAAGGACACCGGCCGAGCGCGAATTGAAATTTCGAGGAGGTGCGAAAAATTCCAAATTAAAAGGGTGTTTCAATAAGACCGCAAGATTTAAATTGCCTGTCATGTTTGACAGTCAACGACAACTTAAGACATACTTCAGACGTCATTTGTCATTATCCAATAATCTGTCGGATTTAATTTGTAATGGACTCGATGACTCGATACAAATTTGTTTTTACTGCTCAGAAAGGTGATTAGGCTTAATAATTACATACAGGTCAAGTCTAAGAAAGAGTAAGAGGGTTAGTACAACGTTTTCCAAAATGCTTTTTGATCGGTTTGCCACTATATATTTTAAAGAAATAATCCCATTGACCTATATAAAAAAATATAACCTTTATAAATAAATATACTAAATAATACAAAGAAACACTGTTAAAAAATAATACACACTGAACATAAACAAACATCAAACGGAAACAAGAAACAAAATAGGGTAAAGATTGAAGATGGTCTTATATTTAAAACAGTTTTCAGCTAAGAATCATTCAATGGGTCTGTCAATCAGCATTGAAATAGGCCAAATATCTCATCTCTCTTGCACTTATGTTTGCGCAGATTTTAAATGGTTCCACAGATTTCGCGTGAAATATATTTGCTTCTTTTATTATCTTATGTTGATCAAATAACTCCATCACTCTCTTTCGTAAACTTAATAGGTCTATAACACGTGATTATAACATGGCAGATCGAAAGTTAACAGTTGGGAGTTAGTAAATATGGAACATTGGATCTGGATATGGATCTGGATATGGAACATAATCGCGTCTTAATTGTTAAACATTACTCCCGGTCGGGTCATTTCCCGGTTTGGTGACCAGAATTGGCCGCCACGTTTTTGTGATTTAGCACCTTTGGACTTCTGGCTGTGGGGTTACTTGTAGTCATAAGTTTATTCCAACATGTACCTAAGCGTTGAAAGCCGAAATTAGACGCTGTATCAATAAAATACCGCCACATGTATTACAATAATGCTATTGAAAATTTTATCAAAAGAGTACGCTTGTGCCAGCAAAGCCGTGGGGCCATTTACAAGATATTTTGTTTCATATACAGTGCATTTCTTTAATGTCCCCCCCTTTTATTTTTTGAACGGATCAACTTAGAAAATTGAAACTTGGGATAATGAAACTAATGCATGATTACTATATTTTGGAGTAAAATTGACAGATAAAAATTTCAAGATGGCGACTGGGCGCCATCTTGGGAAATAAATTTAAATGGAAAGGGTGGTCTTGTGATACATCATTTTGAAGCTCCTGACAAACACTGTACAACCCTGGAATATAAAGTCAATATCTGCACCCATTACAAAATGGCGGACATTTAATAATTACCTGAATACATCGACGTTTAACGTCATAATTTGAGGAAATAAGCTGAGTTCAGTTTAAAAAATGCTCGAAATGGTTGCCTTGAACTTCTTGATACAAGAACAGCCTATCCGAACATTTTCGAACATAGTAACGTCGATATTTCTACAAATATCTGTAATTATTTCTCGTATATCCAATATTGAAGCAGGTTCAGTTTCGTAGACTTTTTGCTTCAAATAACCCCATAAAAAAAGTCTAAAGGTGTCAAATCTGGCGAGCGGGCTGGCCATTCCGTAGGACCTCGACGACCAATCCAACGACCAGGGAAAATAGCATCCAAATAGTTCATTACTTGTCTGGGGTAATGTGGTGGTGCTCCATCTTCCAATGGACGAGAATCGGCCATTTTAGAGTTAGTTCACGTGCTACCTAACTACAATGAGAACTAAACAACCGAAAACTAAATAAAAATACTTTGAACACTAGGAAAATCGAAAATTAAAGAGAATATTTTGAACACTAGGAAAACCAAAAACTAAATGAGCATATTTTGACCAAACAATTAATGTTCGTTGTCGTACCTAAATTTTTTGGAATTTTTTTTAATCAAAAATAACCTGTCAAACCTTATCGGTTTGTTGTGATTGCTATTTGCCATAGAAAAACAAATATTTCTAGAAAAATTGATATTAATTCGTTTGTATTCAGGTAATTATTAAATGTTCCGCCATTTTGTAATGGGTGCAGATATTGACTTTATATTCCAGGGTTGTACAGTGTTTGTCAGTAGCTTTTCAAAATGATGTGTCACAAGACCCCCCTTTCTATTTAAATTTTCAAAAGATCAAATCTTTCTATTTAAATTTATTTCTCAATATGGCGCCCAGTCGCCATCTTGAAATTTTCATCTGTCAATTTTACTCCAAAATATAGTAATCATGCATTAGTTTCATTATCCCAAGTTTCAATTTTCTAAGTTGATCCGTTCAAAAAATAAAAGGGGGGGACCTTAAAGAAATGCACTGTATAATTACCAAATGTACACATGATAAATTAATAAATATTTCCATATTTTGCTACAGATAACATTGTTTTATTGAACCTTAAAATCTTGCGCTTTTATTGAACCACCCTTTACAAAACGAGCTTTCGTTGCAGATTCGAAACATCAAATTCTTGATCTTCCAGGTCGATCAAATGGCTCCTCAAGGTATCGGGAACTCGGTGCAGCAGGAGGCGACCAACGGCGTCGGCGGCGCCCACGAGGACATCCGCGTGCTCGACGGTGGATTCGCCACGCAATTGAGTTGCCACGTCCAGCAGCCCATCGACGGGGACGTCCTGTGGAGCGCCAGATTCCTGGCAACCGATCCGGAGGCGGTCATCGACACCCACCTGGACTTTCTCAGAGGTAGGACCATAGACCTATTAACTGTGGACGCGGTTTAGACTTCAAAAAGGAAAAAAAGGTGTTGCATTTTGGTACCAAGTTTTTTTTACCAAAGTTTCGCCTGTTTTTATTAAAAAGTCTTATGAATTACACAGGGTGGCCCAGAACTCACGCCACACCGGGAAATGCCCCATGGAAACGACAATGGAGATGCCAAAACTGCAGCCAAAAACTTGAAAAAGTTATTCCTTTGGTAAATAAAGAGGTTTAAAATTGACCAATCCCAGTGGGAATTCAAATCCACGAAAATGACGTGAATTAGCTATACACCAATTCGACATTATTGAAAGATTCTATTTCCTTTTCACTTTTAAGGTTAACAAAAGCTGCCAAAATCAGCTGTAACTATTGATCAAAGATTTGCTTTAAAATCGATCAAAAAATGGATCATTCGATTTGAACTACTTTTAAAGCAATAAAAAATTCGGTAGGTTTGATATCAGCAAAACGAAGCTTCTGAATGATTGATTTGGAATCAAATCTTTGATCAATAGTCACAGCTGATTTTGGCAACTTTTGTTAACCTTGAAAGTGAAAAGGACGTAGAATCTTTCAATAATGTCAAATTGGTCAAATATGGTCAAATATGGTCAAATATAGCTAATTCACGTAATTTTAGTGGATTTGAATTCCCACTGGGATTGGTCGATTTTGAACCTCTTTATTTAAGAAAGAAATAACATTTTCATGTTTTTGGCTGCAGTTTTGGCATCTCCATTGTCGTTTCCATAAGGCATTTCCCGGTGGGGCGTGAGTTCTGGGTCACCCTGTAGATATGCTATCGATATTACGTTTTACAATAGACCCATTAACTATGGACGCGGTTTAGACAAAGAGGTAGTGTTGTCGATGAATGAGAGAGATGCAGCTAGTTTGGGCATATGGCAATGAGAGATTGGACAATGCATTAGCCAATAGTAAGAAAGCAAAAGACCACGTGAGTTACGTTTTCAGATATGCAAGGTAGCTGGGGTAGAGGAGGGTAGCTTATGGTAGAATAGGGTTGAGGAGTGCAGCGGAGGGTATTGTGATTTATTATTTTTTTTGTCGAGCAAAATGCATTTTTCAGCTGAGCCTAAATTCCCACGCATTTGCAAATACAGTTCTTATTTTGTATTGTTAATTGGAACATCCTACCTATTAGCCAGTACAGATTTCGCAATTTAAGACCTAACTGCTTTCTCTTGTAAAAAATATGTTTCTTCCAGGTCATTCTTCTGTCCAAGTGGATACCAAGATAAAAACAATATTTAAATATTAAGCGTATAAATAATTTAACAGATTAATCGCCTTTTTCCACACACCCTGTATATATTTTATATTTTTTTTGGTCCCGCCTACTTTTAGCCCAAACTAGCTCCATCTCTCACGGACCTCTCTCTCTCTATCATTGGGAACGCTGAATAACCTCAAAATACCGAGAGTGCCGCGTCCATACTTAATAGGTCTAAGGGTAGGAACGATTTTCCGGGTTTTTTTTTTCACCCGGCAGTTTCGGTAATTAAAATCGATTGATTATTTTCGGGAATAGTCAATATTCCATTAGCTGTGCAAACGGCTGTTGAATCAGTATACATATTTGTCTTAATTAACGAAATCAAATTTGTTTAATTAAAAGCCCACCGGCGAGACGGTAAAAGGGACATCCTCCGCGCTTAAAAAAATAGTTCGAAATAATTTATAAAAACTACAGGGCGTTCTGTTGTTAGCATACTAATATTAATGTTGTTTACTGAACGTTAGCAACTACAGGGCTTTTCACGGTAACCGTCCATTAGAAGTATCTCAATAATGAAAAGACTTAAAAAACTGTAATTTTGGTTATAGTATTTTATTGGATAATTTGAATTGATCTAAGATATTTTCATTTTGATTACACTTCCATAACTCAAAAAAAAAAGAAAATTCATACCTTATTTAATAAGACTTCGATTATTTCAAAAACTACTGGATTTGGGTATAGGGAATACCCATATGGATCAAAAGGGCTTAAAAAACTGCATTGGTCACTGTTAAAAAATACAAGGTGATCCATTTGAAATAACAAAGTTTTGGCCACTTCAATTTGGTCAAGTTTGTCAGACAATTTTAAACGCCCTGTACATGGATTCTGAAAATACAGTTTAGTTTCATAGAAGTGTCTGGACATCATCGATACTCAATTTCAAGCTTCTAGCTGCATTATTAACAGAGATATGACAGAAAATACATTCGACTGTTTTTCCAAAAAATATCAAAAAAATTGTAATATCTTAAAAATGGTGTATTTGTGGCATATGGTGTTATTATCAAAGCCTAATTAAAAAAGGCCATAGAATTCAAAAATGAAGTTAAAAATGGCACTTTTCATATAAAATAACGAAGTTGGTGTCAACTTCCGGTATAACCGGAAGTGTAATCAAAATGAAAATATTTTAGATCAATTCAAATTATCCAAAAAATACTATAACCAAAATTTCAGATTTTTAAGTCTTTTCATTATTGAGATACTTCTAATGGACAATTACCGTGAAAAGCCCTGTATACAATGTAAAATTGGTATTGGTATAAATAAAATATTCCATTTGGAAAGTCCTAATATTTATTCCCTATACACACACATTCGCAGGTAGGTATCCTGCAGGCGAATGAATTCGCGAACAATATCGAGCAGGAAGATGTTTAGAAAAAGCGTTTTTAGAATTGAAAATCCGTTTATCATATTAGGACCGCTTCGCTGACTGTCAATATTTAACCGAAAAGCGGATTCGGTCCGGAACTCGAGCTCGTCGTACATCGAAAAGGAAGCCCAGAATATGTGAAAATACGTGGAAACGATGAAAAACTCGATCGGAATGCCTTTCATCGCCCGCCGAAGGAGACCTGATAAAAAAAATTCTCACCTACATTACCTATCTAGCGTCTCGTTCCCAAACACAAAATTCATCATCCAATAAACGCTCTCTTTTATGCGATATGATGCACTCAATTCAACATCAACACACACTCCGAATGTAACATTCATTCTCGCACGTCCACTCATCCTCCGCGTTTCTTTTATTCCCCTGTTCTTATGGCACGGGGCTAAGGGACGCATAAAATGGAAATTAAATTCCGGCGCACTCGTGAAAATCCTGGCCATTTTCACGTGTAACACTAAACGTTTTCCCGGTTTTTCGGGCCGTTTTTTTCCAGCCATTCGATACCGCTGCGTCATCCCCCCGTTCTGATTCTTTCAATGCAAGATCAGGGGCCTGTTTCATATAACTAACAAGTCCTGTCGGACAAGTGTAGTCTAAATTTGACTGGAGTATTTGACAAGTTTGTGTTTCATAAAATTACACGAGTAGATTATTAGTGACAAGTGACTAGCCTAATATTACAAGCCTGTTTTACAATTGTAGATAGGTTTGCGTTTCTTAAAAAAATAAATTAAACAACATTTGTCATTTATTCCTATCATATATTAGTGTAAAGCGACAGGGACTTGATTTCCTGTCACCATCCGATTTTCTTGTAAATTTAAAAGAAAATGTGGTCAAGCGACAGTGAGGAGGAAGCTTAATGAGAGTTTATTAAACGATTTCGAATGAATTCGATAAAAATGGAGGAAATATTAAAATCTATTGGTCCCCGCCTAATGTATAGAACCAACGTATAGAAATTATGCATTGTCTTTGTTCGTTTCATTGCTCACATTTTATAGCTTTTGTAGAAGTGGGACTAAATTTTCCAAATAGAATGCCCTTTCTTTATTAAAATAATTGAATATTAAATAAATGTTGCTGCGTTTTAAAAATAAGTTTTTTGTCAATAAACGAAATTGTCGAGGTTCACATCTAAAAATAGCTGCAACAAGAAAAAAAAACAATTTTAAAGTAAAAGTTTCCCAATATCGAAGAAAGAAGGTTGTGCTATACTTATGCTCCTCAGTAGAGTAAGTACTATTTTTTTCTTTTTGGCTTAAGTCTGACGTTTAATTAATATTACAGTTGTAGAAAAACGGATGCCAAAAATTTAATTCGACAAGTGTCAAAATTTATTTTATGAAACAAAATTTTTAAATACTTGTCAACCAACACTTGTAACTTGTCGACTTGTATCTTGTCAACTTGTCAGTTATATGAAACAGGCCCCAGAGCACTCGAAAGAGCACGAATTTGCTCCATTTAATAGTGCTAATATTTTAGCACTCGAAAGAGCACGAATTTGCTCCATTAGGGCCGGTTTATCAATTGAGGGTTACCTCTTGACTTAAAGATAACCCTGAGTTAAACTGCCAAAAGTGTTTTTCCCATCGCGGGTCAACTGTTAACTCGAGGGATACCCCTGGGTTATCTTAACTCGCGCAAATTTGGCAGGTTTGCGGATTTGATTCTGGGTTAACCTAAAATTTGTGTGTTTTTCTGTTGTCAAACGCATTTTTTCATTGTTTTTAAGTAAGTCTAATGGAAGAACTAGATTTTAGCGATGACGACCAAGACGTTCTAGAATTTATAGGTCATCAGCGGGGGCCCTATATTGTAAGGCCACGGCAAAATCCGTTTGAAGATTTTTATGAGCATGATTTTTTCGCTCGCTTTCGATTAAAAAAAGAAACCGTTTTGTTTGTGTTAAAGCCCATATAAGACATGGTAAAATTTCCTACAAACAATTTTTTTTTTTCGAATTCGGAAAAATTCGATTCTCTCCTTCTATCCGCCATATTTATTCTTCTGACTTCTAATTTTCATTTCAAATATTCAAAACCAAAAAAGTTAGGTTATTATAGTCAAGAAATGTCAAAAACGAGCACAAAACAACGTTGCCAAAGTTTCAACGGATATAATGTATTGCCAACCTTTCAGCATTTCGTGGGTTTGCTATCACAGGGTTAAAAAGCTTGGATAAACACTTTTATTCTTAACTCGCAATTTAGCCCAGAGTTAGAGGTAACCCAGGGTTGGCTAACTCGACGAGTTATCCCTCAATTGATAAACCGGCCCTTAGTGTATTATACAGGGTGGATGTAACTTTACTGCTCTTTTGAATCGATTGTATTCGATATAACCGTTCGCTATGTTTAAGCTATTTAACGCAAACGCCCTGTATAATATGCGTATAATGGAATATTCTTTGTAGTTTAAACGATTCAACTCTGTGATATACAAACTGTTGGTGCTCTAGTCGACAATAATACTTTTATTAATGCAAACATTTCTTTTTCTTGCTGTACCGGGTGTCTCGTGTAAAAACTTGCACAGAGTAAGGGGTTTCCCTCTGTGTCACTGTCCAGCATTATCCTTGCGCAGGTATAATACCTGGGGAAGGACCTCATTAGATCCTAGCGATCTCAAAAACACAAGGGCATCCGAACTGCTGAGGTTTGCAAATACTTGCGACCTCTGGCAGAATCAATGACCTTGGGAAACAGCGGGAAACTACAGAGGATCATTAGATCTAGGTGGTCACGGGGCTGGAAAGACCGCCCGCATAAAAAACAACAACAACAACAACAAGGGGTTTCCCTACTCATCCCTGCTCTTTGTAGGTGCCCTCAATAGTGCGTATATTTTAATTATTAGAAGCCTCATATTATGAGGAGTAATAGAACTGGAGGTAGATTTGTAGAAACGAAATATAAAAGCGAATTATAGCGACCAACCGGTGACGAAAACCGCATCGTAACTACACCCCGGGTCCGCAGTAATACGTAAAATAACCGGAAAAATCGTCAGCTGGTTACCATGAAATGATAAATCCTTTAAATATGCAAAACAGGACGAGAACCGGATGCAGAAAAAACCGATCCGTCGTCGTCGGGACGCTGCAACGCGTTTGAAATATGCAAGAACTGGATAATAAACTGCAACAATTTGCTGTCGCCCCGGATTCCATCAGCGCGTTGATACACCCGCCTATGCAATTTATTCGCGTTATTTGCCTAATTTTCGTTTCATTATTCGAAGCCAATTCCGGGCTCGCCCGGTCTATTTTATAAATATAAATCGGATAATCTAATGGCGTCTGCGTTAACCAAAGACCTATTAATTATGGACGCGGTTTAGGCAAAGAGGTAGTGTTGTCGATGAATGAGAGAGATGCAGCTAGTTTGGGCATATGGCAATGAGAGATTGGACAATGCATTAGCCAATAGTAAGAAAGCAAAAGACCACGTGAGTTACGTTTTCAGTAATGCAAGGTAGCTGGGGTAGAGGAGGGTAGCTTATGGTAGAATAGGGTTGAGGAGTGCAGCGGAGGGTATTGTGATTTATTATTTTTTTGCCGAGCAAAATGCATTTTTCAGCTGAGCCTAAATTCCCACGCATTTGCAAATACAGTTCTTATTTTGTATTGTTAATTGGAACATCCTACCTATTAGCCAGTACAGATTTCGCAATTTAAGACCTAACTGCTTTCTCTTGTAAAAAATATGTTTCTTCCAGGTCACTCTTCTGTCCAAGTGGATACCAAGATAAAAACAATATTTAAATATTAAGCGTATAAATAATTTAACAGATTAATAGCCTTTTTCCATACTTAATAGGTCTATGGCATTAACTAATTATGACTTCCAGCTCGAGCCGAAGTGATCATCACCAACACCTACCAAGCCGACGTCGATCTCTTCGCCACTCACCTGAATATGACCAAAGAAGAGGGCTACAACCTCATCAAAAAATCCGTCGAACTGGCCAAACTGGCCGTAGAGAGGTACTTAGAAGAATTTTCCGACGCGCGTAAGCCCACTGCACTTCGAAAAAACTTAATTCTCATTCGCTATCCTCGACAGGCAAGCCTCTTATCGCAGGCTCCGTAGGTCCCTACGGCGCCTCGCTGCACGACGGCTCCGAATACACCGGTTCCTACGTCAATACCGTCTCCACGGACACCATGAAGACCTGGCATTTGCCCAGGATAAGAGCGCTGGTGGAAGGTGGCTGCGATCTGCTGGCCATCGAGACCATTCCGAGCGGCGTGGAAGCCGAGATGCTGGTGAATCTCCTGCGAGAGGAGTTTCCCGGTACCAAAGCTTGGATATCTCTAAGCGTAGGAGTAAGTATTTGGAGAGGTTGAAGCTGCTTATTGATGATGGTTGTTGTTTGCAGCAAGATGGAAAGACGACGGCTTGCGGGGAGAATTTCCAGAGCGTAGCGCGCCGTTGTTACGACATGAATCCCGGGCAAATAGTGGCCGTTGGTTGTAATTGTACGGCGCCGAGTCTCATCGAGAGCTTGATAACGGGCATAAACGACGACAGGAAACACAATCCGCGGCCTTTAATAGTGTATCCGAACAGCGGGGAAAACTATGACGTCGATCTGGGGTAGGTGGATCGGATTTTCCATCGGTTGTTAGCATAGACCTATTAACTATGGACGCGGTTTAGACAAAGAGGTAGTGTTGTCGATGAATGAGAGAGATGCAGCTAGTTTGGGCATATGGCAATGAGAGATTGGACAATGCATTAGCCAATAGTAAGAAAGCAAAAGACCACGTGAGTTACGTTTTCAGATATGCAAGGTAGCTGGGGTAGAGGAGGGTAGCTTATGGTAGAATAGGGTTGAGGAGTGCAGCGGAGGGTATTGTGATTTATTATTTTTTTGTCGAGCAAAATGCATTTTTCAGCTGAGCCTAAATTCCCACGCATTTGCAAATACAGTTCTTATTTTGTATTGTTAATTGGAACATCCTACCTATTAGCCAGTACAGATTTCGCAATTTAAGACCTAACTGCTTTCTCTTGTAAAAAATATGTTTCTTCCTGGTCATTCTTCTGTCCAAGTGGATACCAAGATAAAAACAATATTTAAATATTAAGCGTATACATAATTTAACAGATTAATAGCCTTTTTTCACGCACCCTGTATATATTTTTTTTTTTTTGGTCCCGCCTACTTTTAGCCCAAACTAGCTCCATCTCTCACGGACCTCTGTCGTCACAAGCCGACCTGTTGCAACGTTGCCGGGTTGAAATGAAAATCTTGATGTGACAGAATATATTTAATTTAAGGTTATGTTAACTTTCGTTATTTGGAAATTAAAAAGAAGAAATGCATTAGGCTGCAATCCGATTGACGGGAGAGGTGTTTATTTGCAACGCTATATACATTTAAAAAACTATTCGTAAGTTTAACATACCCTATAAATTTCAATGTGCTGAATTATCGAATAAATCGATATGTATTTATTGATCCCCGTTCCCTCTCAAAATAGGCCGAAAAAAACCGAAAATATCGGGAGAAACTGTCAATAAATGTACATAAACCGCACGAAAAAGTATCTAGAACGCACGAAAAACACAAAACCTACTCGTAAACTTGAAAAAATACAGGAAAATCGCGCAAAAACAACAAATTGTTGTCATAACCTGTCAAAGTGTCAACTACAAAGCGTCGCTAAATATTGCGAATGTTGAGACTAATGCATGACAACATCGCCTTCGACTTTCAACTACGCATCGTTAAATTCCCCTAGTCAAATGACAGAATTAACATTGACATTAGGGAAATGTTGAACTGCGTGGAAATTAATGACGTCGTCTAAAAATGACGTCATTGCCTGGCGAGCGCGAATGTCCTTTACCCATATACATATAAATATATATACTGCTGGTATCGTTCAGAAAGCGTACCAATCATTAGAGTGCAGATATATACAGTGTGTGTCACGACGAGGGCCCATTAGAAGTATCTGGAAAAGTATTGTAATTAAAATTTGAAAATTTGTGTACAAGTATTAGTCGATGCGCTCTATTCAATGAAAATATTTTCAACTTTTCTTTACTTCCGGTTATACCGGAAGTTGACAGCAACTTTGTTATTTTAAATGGGACACCCCATATATTAATATATTTTCGAAATGTACGCAAAATTTTAGAGTGCTTTTGTCTAAAAAACTTTTTTCAAAAATGCATACTTTTTGAGTTACACATTTTTTTTGAAAAATTTGACCGATGCAGACCCTTATAAATTATTTTTTTACGGGGATCCCTTTAAAGATATCAAAACGGTTTTTGTAGGGTGGTCACTAGCAAGGTCAAAGGTATTTGAATCTGTGTTAAAAAACTTTTTATTTTAAACAGGGTGTATACAAAACATGTGAAAAGTTGAACTTCAAAAATACCAAATTATTTCATTTTTTTAAATGGAACCACCCATTTTTTTCTATTTTATTGAAATCAGCGATAAAAAATAAGGAAAGTTCATGTTTACTTCCCTATACCTAAACCTAATAGTTTTGAAGATATTGAATATTTTACATAAATCTTACTTTTCTGCCTTATTCTTAAATAACTCTGTTTTACAAGTAGGCCATGTAAATTGTTTGTAATTAATTGATTATTAATTTTGGTACTTGTGAGATATTACCCGCCATCTTGAAATTTTCATCTGTCAATTTTACTCCAAAATATAGTAATCATGCATTAGTTTTGTTATTCTAAATTTCAATTTTCTAAGTTGATCCGTTCAAAAAATAAAAGTGGGGGGGACATTAAAGAAATGCACTGTATATATATGCCTTTACCGTTGATTTTATTGCAGGTGGATCAACAGGGAAAAATGCGAACCTGTGGCGACTTTCGTCCACAAATGGCTGGATTTGGGAGTGAAGTGGATAGGCGGATGTTGTCGCACTTACGCCATTGATGTCACGAGGATAAGGAAGGAGGTGGAGTTGTGGAAAAGCAAGCATTAAAATTGCGTGTTTTTGAATGTTTCAACGTGTGTTTCTCCGCATTTTTCTGTTATTTAGTTGTATGTGTATAGTTAGGAACAGTGTTGTTAAGTAATTAATTACAAGTAATTGAAAAAGTAATTGAATTACTTTTATTGTAATTGAGGCGGTAATTAATTACAAGATCCTCAATTGTAATTCATTTGTAATTCAATTACTCTTTTCGTTACAATTACAATTACATTTTACAATTACATTTCAATTGCATTGGACACAAAAGTACTTATTTAATATTTTCAATACGTGGAAAGTTTAATTCCGATTGCAAATCCCTAAATAATTATTTAAAACTGACACCAAAGCAAAGTAATTGTGAGTGTAATTGTAATTGTAACTTTAATTGTAATTGTAATTACATTCGCAAATTTTGTAATTGTAATTGCAATTAATTACAAATTGCCAAAAGTAATTGTAATTGTAATTAATTACATATTATAAAGTAATTTTAATATCACTGGTTAGGAAGTTTTTTGCAGGTTTACACATTGGATAGCATGCTGAAATGTTGAGGTACTTTTGCACGGAATTTTTAGAAATCTAAACTAGCGCATATTTTTTTAATAGTGAAGTACCTCGGCAATATTTTTGCAAGTAATCGTCAATTGTACCCGTTGAATCTGAACGCCATTTTGTATATTTTTGTTCGTATTTGTTCATCCGAATTTTTATCTGGAAACGGCTATTTTTATACCAAAAATTCATATATTATATTGTTACAATTTTTATATTTAATTTACTCTACGTGTATTTTTTTTAAATACGATCTCAATAATGTGCCAGAATTGCGTGTAACTAAATATTTTTAAAATCGTATATTGTTATAAATAAAACAACAAAAAATCAATTATCGAGTTTCATTCAAAAATACGCTTTACTTGTAAATAATAAACACTAACAATAAATACTTCGTACAATCTTACAACTAGATATCATAATAATGTAAAAATAAATACCCAATAAAACATATACCTATTAACTACTATACCGCAAATAATGGTCTAAAACCGTAGCAAACATTATACTGTGGTGTGCTTGCTTATTTATGCGCATGCTCAAGTGAAAGATTTCTTGATTGGCTACTTTTGACACAGCAAATGAAACGTCAGAAACGTGCTAGCTTTTATTTTGGTATATTTTTTGATATATTTTTAAAATCGACTTCGACTTGCCTGTGTAAATATGGCAGGTTACCGAATTTAAATAAGATTTCAAGTATTATTTTCCTTCTTTTCTTTTTAGGCCTCAGCTACTCGCTATTGGTCCTTTTAAAATTAATGCGCTTGCGTATAAACGACTAAGCACACCACAGTGGGTCGGATCTCTCTCTTTAATCGCTACGATTTTCTCTCATGGAATGGATAGGGAGTTAGCAGTATATTAGTTAATAGGTATATGCAATAAAATAATACGTAACCTGTTAAGCGCGTCGTAAAGATATAAAACTATCGAATAAGAAGTCTCCAAAAAATCACTCTTAAATGTTGCTCTCTATCGCGGGCCATTGTATTTTCTCGAAATCGCCAACATTGGCAATCAAATGGTTTTTTACGATATTTTGCAAGATCGAGCGAGCTTCCTTCTCGTCGCCCAGCTGCGACGTGAGCGCCGTCACGTTGTACTCCAGGATACTAATTTTCGATTGGAGCTGTTGTATGGCATCGTAGAAGGCCTTGGTCGGCTCCATTTTGGATATCTCGGGCAGGTTCACGTTCACTACAACGTTAATAAAATGTCTATTAATATTTATAGAGGCGATTTCATTTACTTTTTCTTGCGAAAAAGTAGAATGTTGACGATCGGTGGGTACCAAAAACTTTTAGAGGTACCCACTAGGAAGCACACAAATAAGACGGAAGCACATCGAAGATATTGTTTTATTGCTATACATAAAGGATCTATATAAAAAATATTAATGAGATCTACTAAAAAAAACCACACACGTACACACAAAAGTTACGTTATTTACATTTTCCTTTAACAAACGCTTAAAAAAATGTAAATCGAACAGAGTCTACACAAACGATTGATTCCTTACGTGACCGAATTCGAAATAAATTTAGTAAATTTGTTATGTTTATGTTGGCACCCAAAAAATAAGTTACTAGAATACTGTCATTAATGTCAAGTCAACGTCAACTTGATCATTAGCGGAACGGAGCGTAAGCATTATTCTGCTTTTAATCTCGCTGGAAATAACGTTTTTCCTAGTTTTTCTTGTGCTTTTCCCGAAGAAAACTGTGTATCAGCATAACCTTAAATTAATGACAGCTGAAAATATTGAACATGTTCTTACGCCACTGTGTTGATTTGTATTCAAAATGGGGACATTTCTTGAAAATAATAACATTTGGGTTGCATAAATTTTTAGGTAACGTGGGAATCAATCATTTATAAAGACTCTGTATATTTATAATAATAACTGGGTTATGTTAAAAATTAAAAAAAATTAGACGAATCATGCAAAATATCTCTCTGATAATGGTCAATTTTCCAAAACAAATTTGTACACCGATTATTATTTTTTAAACAAAAGTCGCATTGTGTAATATACAGGGTGTCCCGCATAAGCACCTACAAAGAGCAGAGGTGTGTAGGGAAACCCCTTACTCTGTGCAAGTTTTTACACGAGACACCCGGTACAGCAAGAAAAAGAAATGTTTGCATTAATAAAAGTATTATTGTCGACTAGAGCACCAACAGTTTGTATATCACAGAGTTGAATCGTTTAAACTACAAAGAATATTCCATTAAACGCATATTATACAGGGCGTTTGCGTTAATTAGCTTAAACATAGCGAACGGTTATATCGAATACAATCGATTCAAAAGAGCAGTAAAGTTACATCCACCCTGTATAATACACTAAGGGCCGGTTTATCAATTGAGGGATAACTCGTCGAGTTAGCCAACCCTGGGTTACCTCTAACTCTGGGCTAAATTGCTAGTTAAGAATAAAAGTGTTTATCCAAGCTTTTTTAACCCTGGGCTAGCAAACCCACGAAATGCTGAAAGGTTGGCAATACATTATAGCCGTTGAAACTTTGGCAACGTTGTTTTGTGCTCGTTTTTGACATTTCTTGACTATAATAACCTAACTTTTTTGGTTTTGAATATTTGAAATGAAAATTAGAAGTCAGAAGAATAAATATGGCGGATAGAAGGAGAGAATCGAATTTTTCCGAATTCGAAAAAAAAAAACTTGTTTGTAGGAAATTTTACCATGTCTTCTATGGGCTTTAACACAAACAAAACGGTTTCTTTTTTTAATCGAAAGCGAGCGAAAAAATCATACTCATAAAAATCTTCAAACGGATTTTGCCGTGACCTTACAATATAGGGCCCCCGCTGATGACCTATAAATTCTAGAACGTCTTGGTCGTCATCGCTAAAATCTAGTTCTTCCATTGGATTTACTTAAAAACAATGAAAAAATGCGTTTGACAACAGAAAAACCAGCAAATTTTAGGTTAACCCAGAGTCAAATCCACAAACCTGCCAAATTTGCGCGAGTTAAGATAACCCAGGGGTATCCCTCGAGTTAACCAGTTGACCCGCGACGGAAAAACACTTTTGCCAGTTTAACTCAGAGAGTTATCTTTAACTCGAGGGGTAACCCTCAATTGATAAACCGGCCCTAAAACATCGGGTAACATTTCAACACAAACAGGTCTATCCCAAATGTTGGGTCTTTTTCAACTGTCGCACAACGAACGATCCGCAACACCACGTCGACGCCCTCTGGTGGGGCCTGTAAGCGTGAGGATGAACCAACGGTTGGTTTTGATTCAAAACGGCCGTCGACGATGAAGAGTTGCGGTTCAGATCTAAGCTAGATCGGTGCGATCGTGCTAATTTATCATGCATTCGTACGTTACCGCCTGTCAGGAGTTCCACTGCTCCGTCCAGAATCGTCGATACAAATCGGGGTGAGGGGGCAACATAAGATGAAACAGAGCACACCGTTAGGGCGAGAAATATACCCAAAAACTAAAACTCTATATAGACGATTCGTGCTAAGCGATACGCCCTCTGGCGGATAGTCTAAGAACTGAGCTAAGAGTCATTGAACGGCTATTGTCTTTGTTGTTGTTTATGACAAAACATACTAGTTCAGTTGTGTTTTTTAAGTTTTCGTGTTTGTTGGAGATTTTTAAAATGAACCAATATGGCTGCGTTCCCCAGTGTTCATCCTGGATCAAGCGAAATCCTAATTTAAGTTTTCATCTTTTCCCGAAAGCAGGAAAATCGAAGGTTTTTGTGGAAACTAAGCCTGGATTTACTTGGAACTAATTGATAGAAGATTGTTGTGGATATGAACATTAAAAATCGGAAAAAATGTATCAAATACGATGAAAGTGTGCTCATTACATTTTCTCGAAAGTGTTTTTTACAGAAAGGTAAGTGTATTATGATTCAAATCCATTTTATTCCATTATTTTCTTTTTAGTTAAAGTAAAACGTAGAACATTAAAATCATTTGCTGTGCCGTCCCAGAATCTCCCACAAGGGTTAAGTGATACATCCCCAGGACCATATTCAGAGAAAAAAAACGAGAAAAGTGCCCAACAAAAGTGGGTCTAACCTGTGAACCAATGGATATAAATATTGAGGATCAACAGGAGGAAATTTATTATTTAATATAGATTTTGAGAACCAAGAAGCAGCAGAAGCATTACTAAATGTATTTGCAGTATTTAATTTTTAATTTGTTTAGCTTTGTTTCTAAAAATATAAAAAGTATTTTTTAAAAGGGGTTATGGTTTCTACAATTTATTTTGTCGCTAACCTGACACTATTAACTATCTACAAGGCGCTAATAATGTTATAAATGTCCTTAATAATCGAAATCTGCTATAAAAATACCAATTTTACTTAAAAAATATCTAAAAAACACCGATTTTATTATACACCACAAACATAAACAACAGTTTAATGCATAAACCTATTAACTATGAACGCGGTTTAGACAAAGAGGTAGTGTTGTCGATGAATGAAAGAGATGCAGCTAGTTTGGGCATATGGCAATGAGAGATTGGACAATGCTTTAGCCAATAGTAAGAAAGCAAAAGACCACGTGAGTTACGTTTTCAGATATGCAAGGTAGCTGGGGTAGAGGAGGGTAGCTTATGGTAGAATAGGGTTGAGGAGTGCAGCGGAGGGTATTGTGATTTATTATTTTTTTGCCGAGCAAAATGCATTTTTCAGCTGAGCCTAAATTCCCACGCATTTGCAAATACAGTTCTTATTTTGTATTGTTATTTGGAACCTCCTACCTATTAGCCAGTACAGATTTCGCAATTTAAGACCTAACTGCTTTCTCTTGTAAAAAATATGTTTCTTCCTGGTCATTCTTCTGTCCAAGTGGATACCAAGATAAAAACAATATTTAAATATTAAGCGTATAAATAATTTAACAGATTAATCGCCTTTTTCCACACACCCTGTATATATTTTATATATTTTTTGGTCCCGCCTACTTTTAGCCCAAACCAGCTCCATCTCTCACGGACCTCTCTCTCTATCATTGGGAACATATACTTATTACTAATATACTGCTAACTCTCTATCTATTCCATGAGAGAAAATCGTAGCGATTAAAGAGAGAGATCCGACCCTCCGTGGTGTGCTTAGTCGTTTATACGCAAGCGCGTTAATTTTAAAAGGACCAATAGCGAGTAGCTGAGGCCTAAAAAGAAAAGAAAGAAAATAATACTTGAAATCGTGTTTAAATTCGGTAACCTGACATATTTACAAAGGCAAGTCAAAGTCGATTTTAAAAATATATCAAAAAAATATACCAAAATAAAAGCTAGCACGTTTCTGACGTTTCATTTGCTCTGTCAAAAGTAGCCAATCAAGAAATCTTTCACTTGAGCATGCGCATAAATAAGCAGGCACACCACAGTATAATGTTTGCTACGGGTTTTAGACCATTATAAGCGGTATAGTAGTAATAGGTATATGATTGGGAACGCTGAATAACCTCAAAATAACGATAGTGCCGCGTCAACACTTAATAGGTCTATGGTTTAATGGTACTTAGCTAGCTTTCAGCTATCACCACCACGGCGCTGCGATCTTAACCCGAATCGTCTACATACTACAATCGTTCCTTCAAACACTCCCATCTACATTCTCCTATAGGATAAAAAGAAAACCCAGCGAGGTACCCACCTGAATTGACAGTGCTCCTCGGCTTGGTAACCGAACAATACGCCCCGATGACGTCCAAAATGAACCCGTCCTCCTTGTAGCTCATCGGTCTCCGACCGCCGCTTCTCGCGTACGGCCCGTTGGGCGTCGCGCCGAAGGCCAACGACGGTCGCAACGGCGGCGGCGGACGGAGGCAGACGGCCGACCAGCCGCCGCGAGTCGGCGCGCCGCCCGCGGCGTTCGACGACATCATAGACAAATGCGCCGGCGCGGCGGAATGAACGCTGCCTTGGCTTCGGTGGTGATGGTTAGTCGACAGATTGGTCCCGCTCGCCGATATCAGAGGCGTCATCTACAAACAAACAAAACGTACCGAGGTTATTATTAAATCGTTCGGTTGGAATTAATACGAGTTATAAGCATGTACCTATTAACTACTATACCGCTAATCAGCTATAGCTCTAACTCCAAAAAAAACAAATGAAGGAGGAAGACCGAAACTAAAACGGAGTTTCTGGGGCATACGGAGGTACATGGGGGGACGTAAAATAATTCGCCGATTACGAAAATCTACCTCTTTTCTCTGGGAAAAAACGAAATTTTCCGTAATTCGATTTTAAAAGTGAAATTTTTGACACATTTCCAAATAAATTACTTGATGGACGTTGCCCGTTCGTTTGGTTTAAACGGAACTATACCGAAATGAGAGATTTTTTTCGTTATTTAGACAATTTCGTCGTTTTTAATGGACGAGAATAAAAGAAAATGCAATAATTCGCAAAAATGTACGTTTCTTGGTCATTTGTACTTTGTACCAAAAACGGAGAAACGATCGAATTACTTTTAAAAAACCTACACTAATGACAGCGGCGATGAACAAATTTCAAACTGTCAAAGTTGTCATTTCCGTTACTACGGGATACATTGACATTTAATTTGATGTACAGGGTGTTTTTTCATTAAGGAAATCGGAAAAATTGATATACGGGGCGTTTTTTTACCTTAAATGAAAAATTATTTGCAATTGAATTGAAATATAGTACAGGGTGACTCGTATTTAATTAAATGTTAATTACATAAACCGAGCGAGCGAGGATCCGGCTACATAACTGTCTTTGCGTAGGAGGCCGTTAGGCCTCCGAGCTGCGGGTCTATGCGGCAGAGCTCGTCGTTATTCACAGCTTTTTAGTCGAGCTCGCGCAGCGAGCGAAACCTTGGTTATTTAATTGTCTTTGCGTAGGAGGCCGAGACGTCGACGTTTAAAAAAATGCGGCGAAGCCGCCACCATAAGAAAGGGGGGTTGAAAGGGGGCGTAGCCCCCTTTCCGAACGTTCAGCGAGTACCGCTAATAATGGTCTAAAACCGTAGCAAACATTATACTGTGGTGTGCTTGCTTATTTATGCACATGCTCAAGTGAAAGATGCGTTTTGATTTCTGATTGGCTACTTTTGACACAGCAAATGAAACGTCAGAAACGTGCTAGCTTTTATTTTGGTCTATTTTTTGATATATTTTTAAAATCGACTTCGACTTGCGTGTGTAAATATGGCAGATTACCGAATTTAAACAAGATTTCAAGTATTATTTTCCTTCTTTTCTTTTTAGGCCTCAGCTACTCGCTATTGGTCCTTTTAAAATTAATGCGCTTGCGTATAAACGACTAAGCACACCACAGTGGGTCGGATCTCTCTCTTTAATCGCTACGATTTTCTCTCATGGAATGGATAGGGAGTTAGCAGTATATTAGTTAATAGGTATATGGTTATAAGGATCCCAACAGACCAACGCGAAACTTCCGCTGCCGCTGCGGCAGCGATTCCGCAGCGGTAGTTTCGCAGTAGTAGCGAAAACGCAGCGTTCTATTTTCGAAACGCTGCTTGCACTGTTTTTTCCGCTGCCGCTGCGGAATTTGGTACTTGTGAAAATGGCAGTTGTCGAAAAATTAATCGAGTTTGTGAAAAAGTATCCCATTATTTACGATTTAAGTCATGAAGACCTATTAAAAATTATTAAAATAAATATCCCACTATTATTATGCTTGCCTATATGTTGCTAATCAACATACTCCTATGATATTTTCTGTACGCCACTGAGAGAGAGACCCATTATCGCAATCATTTCTGAGAATTTAGTGCCTACTATTTTGGAATAAGAGTATAATAACGTAGTTATTTTTACCTAATTTCTTCCTCTTCAGCTAAACCAAGTAGCATCAGTCAAACTTCTTCTTCAGACAAACTCATTGAATAAATAATTGTATGAATTGCAAATATATAATTAATTACACACACGCTCCAATTTGTCACTAAAAATCGCTAACTAACAATCGGAAAATTTCGCAGCAGTGTGAATAGTACCAAAGTTCCGCGGCGGAAAAGTTTCGCGTTGGTCTATGGAATCCTATAAGCTGTAGAATAGAAGTAATGTAGTGATGTAGTAGATTCGTTATAAAAATGAGCGTGGTTAGAATGAGTGTGGTACAGGCAAGGGCCTTTAAAAAACAACAAGAACACAAAAGCATTGTTAGATAATTAGCCTTCTTCAAAAAACGAAAACAATCCACACTACAACCACGCATGCCCTTGCCTGTATTCGATCGCCTCGTATCGACAAAAATCCCTCGAACGACGCTCGACGGAATCTTCGCCTTCAACCACCAATGCGCATACAAGCCTGTCTTGTACACCGGCGTTTCCTCGCCCGCCTCCCCATCACTCGACAGACAACCGGACGAGCGCGACTTCCGCGTCCCGGCGCTCTCCACGCTATCCACGTTGGCGCCGGCGCCGTCGCGTCCAGAATGGCGCGGCGTCGAGCCGAACGGCGACGTGCACTGGCACTGCGACTCGAAATCCCTGGCGATCAGCTCGCTCAGCGACAGCGCCTCCTGCTTGTCGGCGTACTTGTCGAACAGGTGCGTCATGTCGACGCGCGCGGCGCCACCGTCGCCGGTCGCGTTCGCCGAGTCCGGCGAGTTCAAGGTGCAACTGCCGGCCATGCCCGAGTCGGAGGATCGCGGGCTGTGGCAGTACTGCGAACAACAGCGGCACGGCGATCGCCGCGACGTCCCCGGATAATCGCCGTACTCTTGGGCAATCATCTGCAAGCTGGATCGGCGCTTCGGTTGCTCCAGATTCAAGCTGATCGATTGCCTGGCCTCCTCTCTGTCGAACATGCTAGGCGGTTTCAAAATCATCGCCTCGTCCGCCTCGTTATCGTCGAAGGTACTGTCGAGGTTATACAACAACTCCCCTAATACTCTGTCTGGTAGCGGTACGGGATTAATCGGTATCTCCAACGTACTGGAATGGGTCGTAGTAGTACTACAAGTAGATAATTTCGTATTGCTACTATCGGGCCAACAAGGTATATCGATAGCCGTCAGGCTGTTCTCGTTGAACTTGTTACCCACGAACTTCGGCGGGCAACTTTGCCTCGTTGTAGGTACATAAAATTCGGGCAACCTTAAATTATTAATCTCCAAGCTGTCGTTGAGGTTGTAGAGGTTTTCGCAGGCCATGAAAGCCATCGGTTGGGGTAAATCGGAGCTGTCCTGCGATTCTTCGGACCATTGCTTCTGCAGGTGTATAGTCGCCGAAGAAATTTTCAAGCTGGGCGCTTTCGACGGCTCGCCGTGGTCCACGAAACTGCCGCTCTCCGACGCGTTTCTAGTCGAACCGGTGCGCGGATTGTAGTACCGGATGTAACCGAACGGATTGCTCGAATCGCTCGAGCGAACCGAAGTCTCCGATCGTTTATCGCTACAATCGCTCGAAGTATCGCTGTCCGAATCGCTGTCGCATTGGATGACGCTGTCCCTACAGTGGACGTCCTTGATTCTAATGCTGAATTCCGTCTTGTAGTGCCTGATCTTCACCAGGCTCAAGTTCATCTTGTTCAGGTACTCGGTGTAGAGCAGCCGCTTGAGCAACTTCCTCGTGATGACCTTCGATTTGATGAGTTTTTGGAAGTGTTTGGTGAGCGCCGCGAAGGGCGCGGCGGGCGGATAGTGCGCGGGCGGGTAAATCGCCCGGCCGGCGTCAGATGGCGTTTTGTAGCTAACCACTGATGTACGATTGCAGTAACCGCGTTGGTTTATTTGAGATAACTGCTATTGGTTTTTTGAACGAATCGATCGATAAGTAAAGATAACGGGGAACCCTATACTCGGCTTATGGGTCGATTCTGAGAACATCTGTAAGACCTATAAGCCAAAATCTGTAAGAGTTACAGGAAATTCAATTCTATCCTCATCTGTTACTTACAGATTCGCTTACAGATTCGTAAATATTTACAGGCTAGACATCAGTCACTGTAAGCGGTACAGAGTCTGGTAGAGAGCATTAAAAATCATTATTCCTTGTGTTTTGTTGTGTGTACCTTACGGGTGTTTAAACTATACTGCTCCACAAAAGTTAAGGAAGTTCACAAATATTGGGATTAATTTAAAAGTTGCAGGTTTTTTGATCACCAAATTTAGTATGAATTGTAAAGGTAGGGGCAAAAAATCCACTGAGATATGAGAGAAAACATTTTAATTTCGCATATTTGAAAATTCGGTGATCAAAAAGTTTGTAATTTTTAAAATAATCGCGATATTTGCGAATTTCCTTAACTTTTGTGGAGCAGTTTATTTAAAGTAAAAGCGTGTTTTTTTACTATGTTTCTTACCCATATAACCTACAAATGAATTTATTTGCGGGTGTTCTGTTTGAGAAATATGAAAACAAGTGAGATTTTTGTAGTTTTAAATGGGTATCTACTTAAATAAATACCAATAATTATAATAATAAAAATAATTACATTTTTTAGAAATTATATGATAAATTGAAAGAAGGCTAAATCCATTTGACCTCACAGAAAGGCATTTTAAACAAATATTTTGTTTAAAAAATTTAAATAAAATTCTAGTTGATATGGAGACGTATTTTTCCTTTTCCTCTTAATACTTGTGCTCAACTTAAAATATGTTATACATATCCATAAGGCCAGCGTCGGTACTCAGCTTTTAAACTTTTAATTGTTATGAGGTTATAATTTTAGACGTTATAAACATGAGTGAAGTTGAAACCTATAAGGTAAAGATCTGTAACTTGACTTTTACAGATTTGGTTCCAGAATAGCAAATATTACAAATCTGTAAAGTTTCAAGTTACAGGCACTATTTCTTACAGATTCTCGTAGCTTATAGGTAAATTCTCAGAATCGACCCATTAGTTTACTTACGTGCGGTGGTGGTTGGGGAACGAACTGGGCCTGAGATGGCGCCACTTTCTGGCTGACGGTCGAGGCCGTGGAACTCCTGGGCATCTGTTTTTTGAGTAGCTCAGTCCAATGATCGGCGTCGTCTTTATTTTGGCAGGTAACGATCCGTTTATCGATCATCGGAGCGCTGATTTCGAAAGCGTTTTTGTATTGATCGCTATCCTCGAGCCTCGTCACCGTTAAGCCGGATAGGAAAAGTTTACCCTTGAATAAATCACATAGTATCAAAAATCGTCTAGCGATTAGGTAATAAATTACCTCGTAAATGAAAGCGCTTAATCTGTGACTGACGCTAAGTATCAGCAAAGTAGTGGGAAACAACACAAAGTATCGGTCGCTTTGCTGCGGTCCCATCGATACCAGGCCCATGTAAAGTATGTCGCCTAGAGTAGTCAGATTGGGACCTTCCCAGCCTTTTACCGGACCGGTTAGTACTTGAAGCTCGAGTTCCTTCTGTCGTCTGGTGGCCGAACAAGTCGTCTACAAAAATTTGCTTTACTAAATGTAAATAGACCTATTCAGTTTAACCTGTGCTGCGCGCGCATACTGTGGATAATTAACTTGACATCTAAACGAACAAACGAACGCACCTCAGGTAAAATACGGTTCTGACAACCAGACAACGACAACTTAAGACATACTTCAGACGTCATTTGTCATTATCCAATAATCCGTCGGATTTAATTTGTAATGGACGCGATGACTCGATACAAATTTGTTTTTACTGCCCAGAAAGGGGATTAGGCTTAATAGTTACATACAAGTCAAGTCTAAGAAAGAGTAAGAGGGTTAGTACAAAGTTTCCGAAAATGCTTTTTGATCGGTTTGCTATAATATATATTTCAAAGAAATAATCCCATTGACCTATATAAAAAATTATAACCTTTATAAATAAATATACTAAATAATACAAAGAAATACTGTAAAAAAAATACACACTGAACATAAACAAACATCAAACGGAAACAAGAAACAAAATAGGGTTAAGATTGAAGATGGTCTCTTCTTTTTTATATTTAAAACAGTTTTTATGTAAGAATCATTCAATGTGTCTGTCAATCAGCAATGAAATAGGCCAAATATCTCATCTCTCTTGCACTTATGTTTGCGCAGATTTTAAATGGTTCCACAGATTGCGCGTGAAACATATTTGCTTCTTTTATTCGCTTATGTTGATCAAATAACTCCATCACTCTCTTTCGTAAACTGAATAGGTCTATTACTTTAGGATATTACTTACAGCGATGTCTTTATAAACGATGACCGATCGTTGAGTATCGCCTCTATCGGGGTGGCTCTCTTCGACGTGCCTTTCCAGTTCTTGGAGCATTCCCGAATACTTATCCAATCGCCTGAATGGTTTGCTCAGCATCGTTGTTAATACTAAAACGCCGGGACTGGCGGCTCCTTTGGATTCCATGTATTTGGTAAGGTCCTCCCTGCAACCGCTAAATGAGTACTTGATTGCACAAATATACAAATTTATCGTACTTGTATTTGTCCAATATGCAAACAGCTTTGGGATGTAGCGAACAGTAAGCCTGGTGGACATTTTTTATCCTAGTCGCCCAGTTGAGGAACAATTTGCCGACTTTTTGGTCCGGCCCGGGCTTGCTCAATTCCACCTCCAATAAATTCAGCAGCTGTTGGTGGGTTTCTAGGACTTCTGTGATGTTACCGGTGAGTTGTTTGTATTCGTCGGAAGATAGACTGGAAAAAATTGATGTTTTTTTTTACAATGTTTCGTACGCTGGTGGTGGCTTACATTGAGCTTTTTTCTAGTGGTTGTAGAAAGTTCGTGACCAGGCCTTCGAGTTCGGTTACATGGGCTTTTTCGGAATCGACTAAGTCTTTTAATACTACGCCTTTGTATTGATTTTGTTGGGTAATAACAGGTTTCGGAGCATCTAGAATACAAAAGATTACAATGTAGTTTTTTTAATTAAAAAGATGATTGTTTGTAATAAAAATTACAGCTAAAAATAGATCGAACAACAAAACAAATTATGTATAACGTAAACAAATCGAATCTAATCAAACAACATATTGAAATAAATAAACGATATCAATTAATAATAATAAATAAAAGAAACTTCAATTAATTTTAACATTAATCAATTAGCATTAAAAATGTTCTTTACTTGATTATTTGTATAAATAAACCATTTTAAATTTGACGATGAAAGCAGATTTTTCGGAACTGAATCCTTGAAAATCGCAGCTCCAATTTTATTCACGGGAAATCAATGAAGTCAGTGACATTTTATTTTTAGAAACACCAGTTTAGAAAACCTTTAGAGCAACGCTAATAGCAAAAAAGGTAAAATCCGAATATTTTAGAACTGAAAATATAAGTTAATTAGAACAAAAATTTACCTTTGCATTCCTTAACATAATTACTAGGAAACCATCCAGTTTCGCCATTCAAGGTACCTTCCCACCAACCATCGTCCTTTTGGGTAACAGTAATTACATCCCCTTTTTTAAAATTCAACTAAAAAATAACACAAAAATCATTATAAACAAATCTTCAATCTAAACAATAATATACTGCACTAAATAATACACTCGACAAATTAAACGCAACCCTTATGCAAATGAATATTTGTGCAGTACAATACAACATTATTTTTAGTATCCTTAAAAATAAAAAAGCAGTAGAAGCAAAAACAAAATTCCAACAAATTATACGAAGTTGAGTCACCGAGTAATTGCCAAAATTAATACAATCTATTAATAAAAATATTGCATTGCAAGACAAAAGCAACGGCAAATACAAATACGTGCAATAAATAACCAATAACTTTCGAACTGGCTTACCTCATCGTTGTTGGACCTTTTGTAGGAGTAAACTGCCTGTACTATTAAAGGTTCATTGGCCATGGCTTCGTCTTTGTCCCATTAAAAATAATTTAACTGGAAAATTCAATTAGAATGATGCATTAAATGATGAAATGGCGCGATTGAAAGTATCTGTGAATATCATTTCCAAATTATGACCATGATTTGGGAGAAAAATAATTTTTGAGTACTGTCACATTCTTGGCACAGCTGGGAAGGTTTAAATTTGGAACCGAGCCAAAAATATAACGCGTTATGTTTTCATGAATTAATGAAGCAGAGTGTGATCGTAAGGAGAGAAAAAAAACGTTGAAATAATTATTTTATAATGGGTAGAATTTTGCTCAAAGTCACTCGATTGCTATTTTGGGCATCTTATAAAAAATTTACGAAATTTTAATGTTGGACGTAATGGTTAATTAGTGCCTTATTTTGATACTAAACGAGCTGATTGTTAATTGAATCACCGCAAATAGTAACAAAATTCGGAGCATATTATAAATTGAATGTACTTACCAAATTGATAGTATTTGATAGAATAATAAGAGCACTTGATAAAAAGATCATTCGTATTATTTGTGATTATAAATTCAACAATTAAGTATTGCACAATTAATAAATAAACCTAAATTTAATTTCTTAAATTCTGACAATTATAACCTACATGCCTACAAATGAAGAAAAAAAGAAAACAAACAAACAACACCCACGTTTGACATTTCCTGAAATATTTAGTCGTATGGCCTTTTATAAAACCAACATTAAGCTAATTGATGTTTTTAAGCTCCTGACAGAAGAAAAAAGAAGTTTGTTTGAGGTTATGTACGATACACAAAAAATTCGTCAACAAAAATATCCATTTATCTAACTGCTTAGTATGACTGCACCAATGGAAAGAATTCAAAATTTGGATTCTATTGAAAAGGACATTATAACTTGCCTTCACAGCGCAGGTAAAGTATTCACCATTTTCAACACACAAAAACACCCTAAAAAATCCATTTCAGGCCAAGTATTCATGGAGCTAAGCAAAGAAAAATCGAGCCTCAAACAAGCAGAGAACCACACGCAAACCTTCCTCAAAACCCTCAGCGCCGTAGAAAACAAACTAACGGACCAAATAAATTACCTAACCCAAGTCTCGACGGGCCAGCCCCACGAAGGCTCCGGCTACGCCTCGCAGAAAGTGCTCCAGATGGCTTGGCACCGATTAGAACACGCCCGCTCGAGAGTCAACGAACTCGAAAGGATCAAAATAAAACATTTGCAAGGACGAACCGCCCAAAGGAGCATCGCAGCACCCGCGAATGTCCCGGCCATTGCAAACGTTGCAGGCCAAAACATTCCACCCGGTTCTACAACTTAATTCCACGTAAAATGGTAATTAAATGTTAAGTACAAAACTCCGATTGCTGCGGTAAAAGAACAATTGCAGTAAGTTTGATTCGCAAGTTCATAATATGTTAATTATGACTTGTTTCTAAAGGTTTTTGGATGGTGTAAAATACACGATTAAGTCTAGAATTTTATTTGGTGCACTTTATCCCTAAACCTAAAAAAATGATATCAACAAAGAGTTTTTAAGTAAAAAAATACCCTATAAACTATGTACAATAAACGCAAATAATACAGAAAAAATATCACAGTACTGTTCAACAAAAGAGATATATACCTCGTAAACTAACAATCCTCATTATTTTTTGCGTCGAGCCTCTGCTGGGCCATAGTATGCTGTTTCATGTACCTAGCGTACATTTGCCTCGCCTGGTGCAGAACTTTGGTCACGTTGTGTTTCCTAACCATTTTATCGAAATGCATGGCCATTTCGTTGTAATCCATCGCTTTCGTTATGATATGATCTCTATGTTGCATAAGCAGGGTAATGCACAGAAACATTAAGAACGGGTTGCCGCCGCCGAATTCGTTGGGAGGCGGCAACAGAGATGATTTCGCGCTTTCAGTGACTTCCTCGCAGGAATTAGTCATCGTAGGAACAGCACCGTTCGATGGATTCTCTACAGGTTTCGGTTTCGCTTCAGTCTCGTTTATTACGGGAGCATTTGTCTCTGGAGTGGGATTAATCGGCTCGGGCGAATCGTAATCGATATCCGCTTGCTCGTCGGGGGTGTGAGGCGTCAACTTTGTAGCATTCTCGAGCAAGGGATTTTCCCATAAATACACATCGTCGCTTTTCCTCTTAGCTTGGATTTCCTTCAAATCTTTGGTCACTGTGCTGTCGTTTTCGCTGAGGGAATCCGACGTGCCGTTCACGAATTTATCCCCGAAAACCGTACGATCCAAATTTTCCAAATCCAATTTCAATTTACTCGTAACCGATGTAGTTAGTGGGAAATATTCTTGGGAATCATCGGGACTCGTATCGTCGCCGCTATTGGAAGTTGAAGAAAATTGACGTGATATACTGGAACTCTCGGAATCGTCCAAACTCGACTTCGTTAACATTATTTTCGGATTATCTGATGTCTCGATTTTCGCAGCACTGCTCAATGATAGAAACTCGTTTAAATTTTTCACGAGTCGACCCTGGAATGTATCAAAAAAATCAACAATTTCTTAATAATGAAGCGAGTTAAACAAACCTTTCGTGGTCGATTCTCTTCCTCCTCCTTAATCGGTTGAGCACCATCTAATTTATCTAACGAAGAGAACAATTTGTCCTTCAAATCCTTGAAGTGACCGGGCTTCTTCGAAATCCTAATGAGACTCGTCATGCTCGAAGAAAGACTCGCTGCGTTGCCGCTGGTAAATTGATTTTTGTTTATTCGATTATTGAGCACAACGGAATCGGATTTCTGTTCCAACGGAGAGATAGAGCGCGGTCTCAGCTCGGATTTCAACGAATTCGAAGCGTCGGAAGTTTTGGGCGAGAAATCGGAAGATTTGGGCGATAAGTCGGGGTTTTTGGGCGACATTTCGCCGTTTTGAGGCGACGCGCCTCCGGTTTTCGGGAAGAATTCCCCGTTTTTCGCGCCGGCGTCGCTGACTGTCTGAAGGGCGGCGTCGTCCAAACTTTGAAATTTAGTTTTAACGACCGGTACAGGTTTATTAACGCTCACGCTTTCGTCTAAACTGTGATTCTGCCTCTTGACTTTACCGCTCTTCTTCGAATTATTGTAACTGTTTAGTGATATCGACGAGCTTTGCCGTCTGAGCGCTATCATTTTCGTATAAGCATTCTCCCTCGGAGTTTTAACCAGCGGACTTATAGGAGGTGTTGATATGGCGGGAGCTTGGAACAACGTATCGAAAAGTTTCAGTTCTTTCTCCGGATAATCCGCCGGCAGGGAACTCCAAAGAACCTCGAGCATTTGCAACGAATCCTCGAAGGCAAACTCGCGCTTCATTTCCAGAAGCAGCCAGCGATAACAGAAGAGCAAATCGTCCGCCTGCAACAAACATATTGAGCTACAATTACTCGACTTACAATCGGTGAGTACCTGGTGAATTTTCAAGTAGTTATAAAACTCCGGATCGTAATACAAAATCCCTTCGGCCAAATGGGAAAACTTCTGCGTCATCGCGATGCCGTCTATCATGAAATTCGTGCAGAGCCTTTGCATTAGAGCGCAAAAACAAATGTAGGCGTGAGCCTCATCGTTCATAGTGACCAACAGAGGCGACGCCAAGTCGCTCATTCCTTGACAATAGCTCACTTTGGGATGATTCAACGCGTACCTAAAATTATAATCGCGATAAAAACAACTCGAATTCCGATATAAGAGTCGATTTTACGTGGTGAGTATGTTGAATAACGAAGCGATATTTTGATTATCGTCGCTGCCGGCGTAAAAAGGATGATGTCTGTCAGTTCTCAATACGTCCTTTCTCACCATACTGGTGGTGTAGGCCAATTCGCCCACTACTTGTCCTTGAGCAATTGCAGTCTTCCAGGTTTCTCTGAGATTCAAGTACTCCATCGCCTTTTTCTTTATGTAATCCATTCTCTCTTTGCCGGTCATACCGTCCGGATATACGTTCAATAAGTGCTTCCACACGACTTTCCTGGAAGATGCATTAAAATGTAAAATTTGTTAGTTACAGAGTTTCTAACGTTTACCTTAAACTTGGATCGATTCCCCCGAAATAAATGACCGATCTTAATTCTTTTGCATAAACTATCTGTCCTACTGGGTCCAAAAACCTCCGAAATTCCGCATCGGACAGCGGTTGTCTCGGTGGCTGTAAAGCTGTGCTACCGTCTTCGCCGAAATTGAATGCCCTTTGCACCAGGTTCAGTGTTTTTCCCACCTAAAGAGGCGATTTTAGCTAACAATTCGCACAAATAATTTATAATAGGACTGACTTGATTGAATATTCCGTGTAACCTGGGCGCTGGTTTAGCTTCTTGACTTGTGACCGTTCTAATCTGAGTAATAATAGAAATATTCTGTTTGACATCCCAATCATCGGAGCTTTCTTCAAACGGCTTCAGATCTACTTTTAATGAGAGACAAGGTTCTGTGTTAGTTGCTACAGATGCATTATGAGCTCTGGAACGTTATCCGAAATTAATAATATTTAGACAGCATTTTATTTATTGTAGAGATGAATTCAAAGGTAAAAATTTATATAAATACTTGCTTTAAAAATGCAGCGTCAAGATCCCAATCTGAGAGAATGGGCATGTACGTTTCATAGCCATTTATATCGTAAATGCGAAAACAAACAGTAAAATCCCCCTTGATATCGAAGGCTTTAGCTAAAATGCTTTGGAGAACTTCGAAAGATGTTATTTGCGGATCTACGCTGAACTTTCTAAGTTCTGGTGGTTGATTACCCTCGCATTTCTATAACAAAATAAATATTCCAAGTTCGAGTAAATATTTAACAGCTGATAAACATTTCTATAGGTTTTTATTATTATTGAAAGTACTATATGGAATGGAGCAATTTACATAATGGCTATTATTATAACTAAAACATATCGTAATATTGATCTGTTGATTAGTTAAAAACAATCAATTTTAGAACTAATATAATAGAATATTTAAATAAGTTATTACCTTAACTTTCACCCTCACAGCCTCTCGACTATATCCAAATACACCTGACATATTTAACAATATTCCTTAGTTAAAAGATGGTTTATACTTAAGAATCTAATCGATTTTAGCTAACAAATAAATTCATCTTAACGTGAATTCTTAAAATTCTGTTTTTCACATTTCAATAACACCAAAATTTTGAAGAAAAACACAATTTTCGTTTCTGACATTAAAAACAAATGGACAAACGTCACTTTCCAGGGTATCCAACCCTTCGGCTAAAAATAAAAGTAAACTTTAGAAAATCACCATTTCATATTTTTTTGCAATTTTTATGCACGGTAATAAACTACTGTTTTAAGACTGTCGGGTAAGCATAAAAATAAATTGATTGCGATAACCATATCCTTGAAATTATCAGTAATTCGATAAAAACTGTCTTGAACATCGAAGCCTAGAAAAACATTTTATAACACGTTACATAAACACGAAAACGACATTTCTTATCGAATTTATGCAATTAGTTTTTCAACTTTGTTACCGCAATTTGCATTTAATCAAAATTCAAAATTCAAAATTTTTTTCTAAAAATAATACAGTTCTCCTTTGATTGGTCCGATAATCGAGTTTCCCTTTCTTACTCACGCAATAGGAGAGGACAAGTAATTTTGTAGTTGTAGGTTGTCATTTGTCAAGTGTCTTATCTACTAATCTTCTTCTACGCATGCTTTTAGCGTGATGTTGATCTTTCTCCTTCTTGCAAAAACCTGAGCAATGGCGGACGCGTCTAAAGCTCTCAAATTAAAATTAGCCAATTCTAGAAAAAGGGTAAGCTTCTATTTATTAGCGTTTCTAAAGTATTATTTACGGCGTATTTCGTACACGCAAATACAATTTTAGATTAATCGAAAAAGCCATAGTTGTGTAAATCCGATCTTTCTATCCGGCCACATCATCAAATCAAGTGTCATGTAGCCATTTTTTTCCTTAAAATTTTACATTTCACTTTCAGTTCAAGGAATTACAAGAAATAAAGAAACAGAAAAATACATGTAAATCAGCCGAAAACGAGACCGATGCGAAAGAGCACACCCCGGCAGATAGCTTGACTAGCTCCACGCACAGCTCGATAAATAACGAACTAAATACCGAACCGATATCCATGCAAGCCGCGCAATTACCCAATTACTTCAGCAGCAACAAAGATAGCTCCACGTTCTTCGATTCGCTCGCTTCCCAAAGCAATTCGAGCAGCCTTTTCAACCCTCTCGTGGGTAGAACGAGCGGTAACTTCGAGCACATGGTCACCAATATCGTAAAGACTCCGCAATTAGACCAACAAGGATCCTTCGAAGACAATTATTCCTTATTTAACCGAAGCAATCAACAGAGCTACTTGAAAGAAACGCAGAGAATTATTAGACCTAACACAGATGAAGAGGTAGTAGAAGATAATAACGAAGAGGGTGAATTATACGAGAACAATCAGCCATTTGTTACGGAAGCTCAAATAATTATTAGACCTAATGCGGAGTGTAATGTAGTCGAAGAGCCCGATAGCAAGGCAAATGAACCTCACGAAAATAACTCGGGTAATTCGTTTTCCGATCAAAGCACTCATTTGATAGATTATTTACAAAGCCAGACGCAGCAAGTGAGCGACGTGGAAAACAAAGCGATGAGACACGAAATCGTGGAGCATTCGAGCAAAGCGAAAGAAGGTGTACAAAATTCCAATATAAATAGCATAAATTATTATTCCAATCAAATGGCGCAGTATCAGCCGTTCGACAAAACCGATTCGATGAGCGACTTAGAAAAACGAAACATCGACTTGCGAACCAAATTAGAAAACGAAAAACTCCTATCGGAACAGCAAAAATTAAAAATCAACGAATTAGAATCCACGATATTTCAATTAAAAAGTGAGGTTCGTTCGAAGGTCGATCACTCCTCGGATATCGACAAGCTTAAAGAAGAATTGCAATGTCACAGTCAAACGATTAGATTACTCGTAAGCGAAAAATCCGAACTATCCAACAGTCTAACGCACATCGAAACGGATTATAAAAAGAAGATTTCGGAGTGCGACGAGCTGCAGGCGCGATTGAAGAACTCGCGATCGCGCGCCTTCGAACTGGAACAGGAACTGAACCATTTCAAGTCCGAGAAGGTTCGCAAGGAGAGCAGCGGAGCAGAGCGAAACGAAGCGTTGGCGATTCTGCGAAGGGACCACGATCGACTGCGAGAGGAAAAAGACGAGCTCTACCAGGACCTGCTGGAGGTCAGAGAAAAGCTGAAGACCACGTTGGAGGAGCATTCGAATCTGCAGAAAACCAACGGGGAATTGGCCAATAAATTGTCTTTGGCCGAAGTTAAAATCCAACAGCTCGGCCATTCGGGTCCTCAAGCGGCTGCTGCGGGCGATTTAGAGAAATTGATCGAGCAGAAACACGAATTAGAACGCGAATTGGCTAACATGAGTACGTTGTTGAAAAGCTTAACGAAAGGTAAATATTTATTTACAGTCGAATTGATTCTATGGTTTAAAAAAATTTGGCTTTACAATTATATCCAAATTACATGTTTTTATGATAAGTAGTTCAGCTTACGTATGGTGTTTGATAAATGTGTTTTGTGATAGTTTTTATGAATCATTTTTGTACAAAATTTAGTTATTAGGTTGAAATTATGTGTATCTTCCTCCTATCCGCTCTCGGGGAAACATTTTTTAATTGTTTCTTTTGATTTTTTCGATAGGAGGATATCATGTTCTCTATTAAAACACACTAATGACGTTAATAAATAACCATTCGGTGTATCCTGTCTGGAGAAACATTCACTTAAAATTGGCTATTTAGATATTGGCAAATACGGTCGGATAGATAAAATCAACAATAAGACACTTTTACGAGGTTCACTATACAATATTTATCTAATACATTTCTATTATAGAACGCGATGAATCGACCAACAACTATCAGCATTACACGGAGAAGCTCAACGCGCAATTGGTAACGTTGCAGGAGCAACACGATCGCCTGCAGCAGGACAATGAGAACCTCTGCGTGCAAGAACAGAACCGCATCCGGCACATCGGCGATTTGGAAAGGCAGCTGCAGAACATCCAGAACGATCGATTGGCTCGCCCGGCCAGCGTTTCGGACGGCAATTTGAAAAACGATTTAGACATCACCAAAGAGCTGTGCCTTCAATTGCAGGTAGGCGATTTTGTGCTCGTTCGAGAATCGCACGTCTAAAAAAATTTCACATTTTTATAACTCATTCATTTTCGTTGTTTATGTATAATAGTTTCTTGTTAATTGGAAGAGTTATTGCTAGTGTTTCCCGTGAGTGTTTGACCAGTTTTGAGCCGGTCAAAGACCCATAGGGAACCGAGCTGCGACTCTTCGAAATTATTCTAGACGCGTCCGTCGAAATTAAGTTAAAACATTATCGAATGCAATTCGTGCATTGATAAACAATTCCCCCCACTGCTAAGTTGTAAGTAATCGTGACGATGGCACGAAAGGTACTGGGGCAATAGTACCGCAAACGATACCCTTGGGACACCGGGCGATATCCCATTGTAAGTACAGCCTTGCTCCTGCAAGCGGGGCTCTGCAGGAGTCGACCGATTAGATCCCTAGCTACTCGTGGGATGCAAATATGAAGCACAATAGATACAATAAACCTTACTATCGCGGCCCCCCTCCGTGGGCCCATTCGCGCTACGACGATTCGAGATCGTGGGCTGACAATTCGAGGTCATCCAGCCCGCCCAGGTCGAGCCGATGGCCTCCGTCGAGGCCTCCGAAGCGCAAGCAAAACGGCCAACCCTACGGGGATTTTAAGAAATCGAGGAGCGAACGTACGGAGAAGGGGATCCAGATGTTGGTGACGTCGGCGGATTTTCCGGCGAAGCACCTCACCGAAGACCAGTTGGACGTTTTACAGCAGGCTATCTTATCGGAAATTAGCAAAATCAGCGGCGAGGAGTTCTGTCCGCAGTTCCTCGATTCGTTCAAACGACGCGGGAATTTGATAATAAATTGTAACAACGACGATAGCGTCGATTGGTTGAAACGCACCGTTCCTAACCTTAAACCGTGGGAGAACGCCGAGTTTAAGATCATGCAACAGAGCGATTTGCCGAATTTGGTGGATTTCTTGGTGACGGTGCCCGGAGTCGTCGAAATCGATGTGTTTTTGAAACGCATCGACAAGCAAAACGAAGGTCTCAACACGAGCACGTGGAATATAATCAGCAGCAAATTGGACGAGACCGAACGAAATACCATTGTAAGTTTCTCCGTCGACGAAACGGTAGCCGATAATTTGAAGAAAGTGAGCAACAAGATATTTTTCAATTTCACCAGACTATCGGCCAGGTACATGGGTTGCTTACGGAATAAAAAAATCGACCTAAAATCAGAAACCGAACAACATGAAGATACCCATACTGATAACAACCCAGACAATTCTCAGGAAGATACTACCAATAACACCAATCAATCAACGCAAGAAGAATCATCATCATCAGTTACAGACACTAACAATTAATCTCTAAAATTTAAAATTCATTTCTTAACATTCAAAATTATTAATTACGTTCAGGATAACATACAAGATGCTTTACGATTAAAGCTGCGCATTTCGGAGGAGTAAACCTCTACGCAACAAAAAAATCCCCATTGCTAAGTTGTAAGTAATCGTGACGATGGCACGAGAGGTACTGGGGCAATAGTACCGCAAACGATACCCTTGGGACACCGGGCGACATCCCATTGTAACTACAGCCTTGCTCCTGCACGCGGGGCTCTGCAGGAGTCGACCGATTACATCCCTAGCTACTCGTGGGAATCAATATGAAACCGAATTTTTTATCAAATCAAACATACAAACCGTACTCGGGCCCCCCCATGCGGGGTTTCCGGAGTTTCGGCGGGAGGGGTAAGAGTAGACCGAGAGGAGGAGGAGGCGGCGGTAGACCGCCTTGGTATAGAGAATCATCGCCATCGTCTAGCAGATTCAACAAACCGGGTTCCGTAAAGGATTCGTCACCCGGTAAAAAGATGGGCGAATCGAAACCGATTCAAGGCATCACATTGATGATAGCTTTGAGCGAATATCCCAAGCAAGTAATGACCGACGAACAACTGACGAGCTTAGAAGACGAAATCCTCGAATCGATCGACAGGATCACCGAGTCGACCATTCGACCGCAATTTTTAGATTGTACCAGAGACACCGGCGCGTTGCTCATCAGATGCAACAACGTGTCGACGGTGAATTGGCTCAAAGAACTCATACCGCGACTGAACATCTGGGAGGAAGCCAAATTGAAAGTGGTCGATTCGATTACGACCACCAAAGAAATATCCAAGCTCATCGTACCGTCGAAATACCCGTTGGATTTCTTCGCGGCCGAACAATTGAATAAGCTCTACTCGGACATTTTGAAGGAAATCGACAAAATTCCGAGCGGCAGTTTCATGCCGCAATTTTTGGACTGCACGAAGGCGCAGGGCGCTCTGAACTTCCATTGCAACAATCTGCCGAGCGCCGAATGGTTGCGAACCACCGTACCGTTCCTCGAAGGCTGGAAGGACAACGACGTCGTCGTGATGGATCCTTTGGACGTGCCGCAACGGAGTACCTTGCAACTGTGGATTCCGGGGCCCGTGGAGGAGCCCGAGCAGGTGCTGGAGCGGCTGGAGCGCCAGAACAAGGGCCTCAAAGCCAGCGAATGGATACTGTTGAATCGCAAACAGGACGAGACAGGTCAGAAGATATTCGTGACTGTCGACGATAGCATCCTGAACGAATTGAAGAAAGTCGATTACAATCCGTTTTTGAATTTCACCAGGATCAAAGTGAAACGTTTGGGTAGATATAAACCTCGCGATAACGATAAATCGGGCGAAGCGGGCGCGACCGGCGAGGATCAGAAATCCAACAATCAGGAAATGCAACAGCTGGGTGATAGCGAGTTGTCCGACGTGTTTACGGCGATCGACGAGCTGATAGAGGAAAGTGAAGATAACGCTCTAACTTAAATTCGCGTCGTGTAATTTAATCCGGAGGAGTAAACCTCTACGCAAAAAAAAATCCCCATTGCTAAGGTGTAAGCGATCGTGCCGATAGCATGAGAGGCACTAGGGTGTAGTGCCGCTAACGATGCCCTTGGGACACCGGGCGACATCCCATTGTAACTATAGCCTTGCTCCTGCACGCGGGGCTCTGCAGGAGTCGACCCGTTACATCCCTAGCTACTCGTGGGACGAAATAATGAATCATAGAAACAATTCTTTTAATAACAACAACAACAACCGCCCAGCGTTTTCGGGCGATTTTAACGCGGCATCCCAATCGAATAAACCGCCTAATATGTTTCCGAATGCGCACAGAAATCCGATGTTTCATAGACGGAACAAACCCAACGGTAACGAACCGAATAATTTCGCGCGCGTTAACCACCCGTCTCCCATATGGGACGCGCACAAATTCAATTACAATCCGACGTGGACGGGCAATCAGAATCCCGCTTGGTCGGGAAATCAACCCGACGGGAATTCCTTCAACCCGTGGGGGAATTCTCGGCCGAATCCTCAACCGATGTTTACGAGAAGAAACGAAAATTCGTGGACTAATCGCGGACAGAAACGACCGTTAGATACGAACACAGTTGCACCTTTCGACTCGGAATTTTTACCGAAGCGCAAGAAGCAACCCGCGCGAAAAAAGAAGAAAACTTTCGCTAATACCAAACCTAATTTCAACGCAAACAGCAATCGAACGCCGGCGGTTGCGAGTAAACCGAAGCAACCGCCTCAACCTCTACCGCAGGTGCAACCGAACGAAGTCGAAGCTTGGATCGTGATCGACGGTTACCCGCTGAACAGATTAACGCCGGGCCAATACGAAGAATTATTGATAAATTTCAAAAGCAAACAAGAAGTAATGGACCCCGATAAGCGCTTGTTCAGACTCGCCGAGTTGCGCAAAGGTAGATTGTGGGTGATTTGTACCAGTCAACAAGCCGTGGATCCTTTGAAAGAGCTCGTATCGGTTCTACCGGGCGTAAACGGCGCGAAATTCCGGCTGATTCTACCGAACAAAAAGGAAAATTGGAAATGGTTGGCCGTATTATCGGAGGGTTTCCCGAAGAAGATACTGCCCTACGAAGACTTGCGGCGCATTGAAGAATCCCTCGCGGTGGAGATGAAAACGATCGACGAAAGCGCTACAATTCGCCCGGAAATAGTCGAAATTTTCAAAAAACGAGGCACTCTTTTCGTATGTTGCAACAACGAAGCGAGCCTGAAGTGGATCGAAGAGATTGTACCGAAATTGAAAGTACTCGAAGATGGATTGAAAGCGGTCGATCCGATCGAATTGCCCGTGTACTGTCGGCTGGAAATCGAGCTGCCTTGCAAGCCGGACGAGGTGGACAAATTGCTGGCGAGATTGGATCGACAAAACGATGGATTGTCTACCGACGAATGGTTCGTAATTCGGAAGATTGCCCAAGAAAACGGCGCGACGTTGGCGTTGGTTTCGGCCGATAAGAACGTTTTGGACGTGATTAAAGGTAGCGAGAATTCGCTGTTTTTGAATTTCGGCAAAATTAAAATAAAAAATTTTACCATTCCTAAGGTTAAATATCCTACTAAGAATGATAATGAAAATTAATAGTGGTGTTAATACCAAGCAAATTTGGTACCTTTCACTATACTTTTTAGGATATTAGGTGGTTTTTTTAAAGTAAATATTTTGATTACACAATATAAATTCTGGGATGCCAATAAAATTGTACTTTTCTTTGCATCTTTAAAAATGCAAAAAGTATCCGATTTTTTTTTATTTTAAAACTAGAGATAGATTACAATGTAGATTTTAGATTGTACGGATTTTTTCACTGTTGTAAGTGACGCTAGAGGTAAGTTTTGTCAGCTAAAAAAATATAGATCGATATTAATTTACAATGATTGTAGGATGAGCCATCAGGAAATTACGTGTAACAATTCAAAATAGGCTTAGAAAAATATGGATTTGTCTTTTGTCAGAACGAAGGGAGGATTCAGTACAAATTGAGGTAAATATTTTTTTTATATTCTCTATTAGTTTTTAAACTGTGAACAATACGTAACGATCTCCGATCAAATACCGGATGATCGAATTGTAAATGAACTTTCATTGGCTGTTTTTTTGTTTAAAAAAGAAGAATGTGACAAGTTAAAACTGAACTTTCTCGCACATTTTCTACAAGGAAAATGAGGCACGTAATAAAATTGTAGACAATTTTAACTTGTCTGTAATTATCGGAAATGGACTACGTTTATTCTAAAAAAATTGTGGTTAGTGTTTCAAATCGAACTGATACCGGTTTTCGCAAGACTATATTACTAGTCCGTGTGATTTTCCTGGATGTGGAAGATAACCGCAACAGATGGACGCGCGATAAGTATAATTATTTGAACTGATATGGTAACGCTTACGATTCGCCCTCTCCTCATTGTTCGATGGATAATTTAATTTCTATTTTATTATGCAGAAAACGCTTTAGCGACTCGGGACATGGACTGAAGTTCACTACATTCTATTCGAAATAGACTCGCTAACAACTAGCCACGTAGAAGACTATACCGAAATCGAAGAATTTGCCTGACGATATCGCAGGAATTACTTCATGTATTTAGACAATCGAAGCGGTGGAATACGATCGATACGAAACGAAGATTCAGAACGTCGAGAAAGATATTCTCGATCGTGGACAAAATTCGAATTGTTATGCGATTTTCGTCGATTGTAGGGTTGTTTAAAAAGGTCTCTCGATGATTTATCGAAGAAACTAGCGCCTAATTACATCGGGCGCCGGTTCGATTCTGGGAGAATACAAATTCGTTTTTTGAATTTTGTTCGCCTTGTCTTCTCGGAAGATCAAAGAAATAGAATTTCCCACGAAGAAGATAAACGAGAGACCGTAAACTTGGGATCCGAAAGTTCCTTACGATTATTACACAGACGTGAAATAGATAAGCTCTTCTCAAAAAAAAAACAAATTGATTTTCTCGTATGCATTCGTTTGTATTAAATTCGATTTTTCGTTTGTACCAGGTACCACGCCACGAAAGCCACAAGAAACTTTGCTATCGATGAATTATGTGGATGTTCCAAATTACTGAAGATCGGATTATCCGGATATAAGTAAAATTAGAATTAAGGCGATTTACTTGATTAAATATGCACACGCTGACTGTTGTAGGCAGTGTTGTTAAGTAATTAATTACAAGTAATTAAAAAAGTAATTGAATTACTTTTATTGTAATTGAGGCGGTAATTAATTACAAGATCCTCAATTGTAATTCAATTACTCCTTTCGTTACAATTACAATTACATTTTACAATTACATTTCAATTACATTGGACACAAAAGTACTTATTTAATATTTTCAATACGTGGAAAGTTTAATTCCGATTGCAAATCCCTAAATAATTATTTAAAACTGACACCAAAGCAAAGTGATTGTGATTGTAATTGTAATTACATTGCAAATTTTGTAATTGTAATTGCAATTAATTACAATTTGTCAAAAGTAATTGTAATTGTAATTAATTACATATTATAAAGTAATTTTAACATCACTGGTTGTAGGTTTGTTAGAATGTCGTGTTTGCATATTTAACTCTCGTAGATTCTTTTGGTAAGTAATATAATAATAATTAATCTAATTTGGTACCATTGGAATCGACTCACGTGGAAAATAAATGGAATATTTTGGCTTAATATTGGAAAAATGAGAATTCAAATGGAATGTAAGAAGAATTGTAAGAAACATTTTCACCGAAATTTGAGTGATATCTACAGCAGCTATGCGAAGAGGAATCGCCTATTATTAATTCATTTATTGAAAATTGTGGAAGAATTCTGAAGAAAATAACAAGAATCGCAGGAAAATGAAGTATGCTTGGATATAGCAAATTCGGAAGAAAATTTATTCAACTATAATCAAGAGAATAGCATCACAAAGGTGAAAATGCCATTGATATTTAAAGACCTTTGAGCAACCAAGTTGCGTTGGAGAAAGTTTTGTTCGAAACAGTTTGAAGAAGTTAAACAGCAAAGGAGGAAGAAACGTTTTATGTGACTAATTGTTATTTTGACTGTAAAATATTAAGTATCATAAATTGTGAGATAGATTTGCATCGTTAGAAGACGAGTAATTTTTATTTTTCACTTGTAATAGATCATTTTTGTCAGTATGAAACTTGATAAATGCCATAACTTGGTATATAGAACTTATTAAATTTTACAGGAATTATTTTCAAGTTGTGGCATCTATCCACAGAAATAAACTAGTACTTTTGGGAATTTAGTTATTAGATTTGATACTGTATTATATTTTCCTCCTATCCGCTCTCGGGGGAACAATTTTTAATTGTTTCTTTTGATTTTTTCGATAGGAGGATATCATTTTCTCTATTAAAACACACTAATGACGTTAATAAATAACCATTCGGTGTATCCTGTCTGGAGAAACATTCATTTAAAAGATTAAAAATGTATGTAAAATACACCAAAAATTTGTAAAAACCAATAAAAACCGAATTAGTTTTTTTTAATTCACCCGAATCTCCACTACTCATCTCATACATCGACCCGCCTCATTTTTTCAAACCCTCTAAACAAACCATTAATCTTTGCAGATGGAAAAAACCGAATTAGAAGAAAACTACACTAAATCGTTGAACGAAAAAGAAATGCTCCTGAAAGAACTATCGGCCAAAAACGACTCGCTGAGTCAATTAGAAAGCATGATAGAACAACTCAGGGGCAACCAACCCGACAGTGTTAAATTATTGGCGACGATGGAAAGTGACAAAGTCGCCGCCGCCCGGGCGGTACAACAAAACAAAGAACTCAAAGAGCAGCTCGAGAGCATGCGAGAGGTGTTCGTCAAATTGGTAAGCTCAAAAAAAAACCTATACAGTGTGTGTGTCACGACGAGGGTCCATTAGAAGTATCTGGAAAAGTAGTTCTAATTAAAATTTGAAAATTTGTGTACAAGTATTAGTCGATGCGCTCTATTCAATGAAAATATTTGCAACTTTTCTTTACTTCCGGTTATACCGGAAGGGGACAGCAACTTTGTTATTTTAATTGGGACACCCCATATACAGTGTGTCTACTTAAGTTCGCACCATATGGAAAACTTTTTTATTATTAATTTTACGAAAAAAAGTTATTCTTCATAAAAAGTTCTGCATGTTTTAAAACCTAAAATACAACCATCAGATAACAATTTTTTTAATCCGTATACGAGGTTTGTCAAAAAAATGTGTTTTTTGCGTAAGAGTAAAGTACCTTTATTTTTGAAAATATCGGAAATTGTTATTAGGAAAAGTTGATCAGAACTAAAAATTACGTTCAAATATGTAATTACATCCAATTATAAGTAAGTAATCTATTTTTCTTCTTTAAACTATCAACACCTAGCAATGTTTTTATGTAGTCGATAATTATTGTAAAATAAATTATTTTGTTATCATTTATTTCGATGCATAATCAAACTAATGCAACATAGAGGTTACGAGATGTAAATGTAATCAAATTTTTTAACGAATAAAGATATAACATAACAATTTCCAATATTTTCAAAAATAGATTTACTTTACTTTTGAGCAAAATTCATATTTTCTGACAAACCTCGTATACGACTGAAAAAATTAGATATCTGATGATTGTATTTTAGGTTTTAAAACATGCAGAACTTTTTATGAAGAATAACTTTTTTTCGTAAAATTAATAATAAAAAAGTTTTCCATATGGTGCGAACTTAAGTAGACACTGTATTTTCGAAATGTACGCAAAATTTTAGAGTGCTTTTGTCTAAAAAACTTTTTTCAAAAATGCATACTTTTTGAGTTACTAATTTTTTTTTGGAAAATTTGACCGATGCAGACCCTTATAAATTATTTTTTTACGGGGATCCCTTTAAAGATATGTATACGGTTTCTGTAGGGTGGCTACTAGCAAGGTCAAAGGTATTTGAATCTGTGTTAAAAAAACTTTATTTTATACAGGGTGTATACAAAACATGTGAAAAGTTGAACTTCAAAAATACCAAATTATTTCATTTTTTTAAATGGAACCACCCATTTTTTTCTATTTTATTGAAATCGGCGATAAAAAATAAGGAAAGTTCATGTTATTAGATTTGATACTGTATTATATTTTCCTCCTATCCGCTCTCGGGGGAACATTTTTTAATTGTTTCTTTTGATTTTTTCGATAGGAGTATATCATGTTCTCTATTAAAACACACTAATGACGTTAATAAATAACCATTCGGTGTATCCTGTCTGGAGAAACATTCATTTAAAATTGGCTATTTAAAAGATTAAAAATGTATATAAAATACACCAAAAATTTGTAAAAACCAATAAAAACCGAATTAGTTGTATTAATTCATCCGAATCTCCAACTACTCATCTCATACATCGACCCGCCTTATTTTTCAAACCCGCTAAACAAACCATAAAGGCGATAAAAAATAAGGAAAGTTCATGTTTACTTCCCTATACCTAAACCTATTAGTTTTGAAGATATTGAATATCTTACATAAATCTTATTTTTCTGCCTTATTCTTAAATAACTCTGTTTTACAAGTTGGCCATGTAATATCTCACAAGTACCAAAATTAAAAATCAATTAATTACAAACAAATTACATGGCCAACTTGCAAAACAGAGTTATTTAAGAATAAGGCAGAAAAGTAAGTTTTAAGTAAAATTTTTAATATCATCAAACCTATTAGGTTTAGATATAGGGAAGTAAACATGAGCATTCCTTATTTTTTATCTCTGATTTCAATAAAATAGAAAAAAATGGGTGGTTCCATTTAAAAAAATGAAATAATTTGGTATTTTTGAAGTTCAACTTTTCAGATGTTTTGTATACACCCTGTATAAAATAAAAAGTTTTTAAACACAGATTCAAATACCTTTGACCTTGCTAGTGACCACCCTACAGAAACCGTATCCATATCTTTAAAGGGATCCCCGTAAAAAAATAATTTATAAGTGTCTGCATCGGTCAAATTTTCCAAAAAAAAATTAGTAACCCAAAAAGTATGCATTTTTGAAAAAAGTTTTTTAGACAAAATCACTCTAAAATTTTGCGTACATTTCGAAAATATATTAATATACGGGGTGTCCCATTTAAAATAACAAAGTTGCTGTCCACTTCCGCTATAACCGGAAGTAAAAAAAAGTTGAAAATATTTTCATTGAATAGAGCGTATCGACTAATACTTGTACACAAATTTTCAAATTTTAATTACCACTACTTTTCCAGATACTTCTAATGAACCCTCGTCGTGACACACACACCGTATCACCCCCGTAAACAACCACTAAATCCAATCTTTTACAGGACAACGACAAAGTCGAACTGACCGAGAAGCTGTCGCTCGAAACCTCCGCCGGCAAGGACCTGCTCGAGAAGCTGCAGAAGACCGAGTTGCAGCTGCAACGGCTCACCGACGCCATCGAGATCAAGGATCGCGAGCTGTCGATGCTGCGCGAATCCCTAGAGGAGCTCGACAAGCGAGCCCTGCAACACGAGCAGCTCGCCGATAGACTGAGGCACTACGAGGCCAACGATAACGCCTCGCAGGCGCTGCAGAACGAACTGCAAGAGGCCAAACAGACGGTAGTTAGACTCACCAACGATATAAACAATCTGCGAAATCGAGAGAATGCCGGGAATGGCGAGGACGTCGACGCGTTGAAGGTGAAACTGGAGGAGTTGGAGTTGAGAAACGAGGAGTTGCGATGTAAATTGGAACACGATTCGAATTTCAATGAAGCTTTAGAGGCCGGTGAGCAAGAAAAATCGGAGAGTTATTTGGAGAAGGAGGTGGCGATGGAGCGCTTGGAGGAGAAAGTGAAACGTACGATGCAGGAAATCGCCGATTTGACTGATGAAAAACAGAGATTAGAACATTTGGTGCTTCAATTACAAGGCGAGACTGAGACTATCGGCGAGTACGTTGCGTTGTATCAACATCAAAGGATGATATTAAAGCAGAAGGTACGTTTTATACAGGGATTTTCACGGTAACCGTCCATTAGAAGTATCTCAATAATGAAAAGACTTAAAAATCTGAAATTTTGGTTATAGTATTTTTTGGATAATTTGAATTGATCTAAAATATTTTCATTTTGATTACACTTCCGGTTATACCGGAAGTTGACACAACTTCGTTATTTTATATGTAAAGTGTCATTTTTAACTTCATTTTTGAATTCTATTACTTTTTTAACTAGACTTTGATAATAACACCATATGCCAAAAATGCACCATTTTAAAGATATTACAATTTTTTTGATATTTTTTTGGAAAAACCGTCGAATGTATTTTCTATGATATCTCTGTTAATAATGCAGCTAGAAGCTTGAAATTGAGTATCGATGATATCCAGACATACTACTAAATGAAACTAAACTGTATTTTCAGAATCCATCTACAGAGCGTTTAAAATTGTCTGACAAACTTGGCCAAATTAAAGTGGTCAAAACTTAGTTATTTCAAATGGATCACCTTGTATTTTTTAACAGTGACAAATACAGTTTTTTAAGCCCTTTCGATCCATATGGGCATTTCCTATACCCAAATCCAGTAGTTTTTGAAATAATCGAAGTCTTATTAAATAAGGTATGAATTTTCTTTTTTTTTTTTTTAGTTTTCTAGTTGGTCATTTGATGGCCTTATGTCAATCCGAAATGTATGTATTTTTGAAAAATTCTACGCTTAATTTAAGAGTACTTTTGTCTAAAATATATTTTTTTTCAAATATTTTGAAATAACAAAGTTTTGACCACTTTAATTTGGCCAAGTTTGTCAGACAATTTTAAACGCCCTGTACATGGATTCTGAAAATAGAGTATAGTTTCATTTAGAAGTGTGTTTGGACATCATCGATACTCAATTTCAAGCTTTTAGCTGCATTATTAATAGAGATATCATAGAAAATACATTCGACTGTTTTTCCAAAAAATATCAAAAAAATTGTAATATCTTAAAAATGGTGCATATTTGGCATTTGGTGTTATTATCAAAGCCTAGTTAAAAAAGGCCATAGAATTCAAAAATGAAGTTAAAAATGGCACTTTACATATAAAATAACGAAGTTGGTGTCAACTTCCGGTATAACCGGAAGTGTAATCAAAATGAAAATATTTTAGATCAATTCAAATTATCCAAAAAATACTATAACCAAAATTTCAGATTTTTAAGTCTTTTCATTATTGAGATACTTCTAATGGACGGTTACCGTGAAAAGCCCTGTACAGATAAATGCAAACTTATACACAGTAAAAGCTCAATTTTCTCACGTATTTTTGTTTGTTTCTCTTTAGGCAATCGAGAAAGACGAGCAATTAAGGCAGTTGGCGACGGACAGGGAGCAAATAAAAGCGAAATTAGACAAGCTGAATGGTTTAGTGGAAAAACTACTGAAAGATAAGCGAGTAGATGCGAGCGTATTGGACCAATACAATACATTAAAAGAAGGCGATGCTGTAGAGAATTTCGAAGATACCGGACAATCGTTGGGTTCGAATTCGAGCGGCGATGCGGCTGAGGAAATTTTGGCTTTATTATCGGAAATAAAAACTAGTAATTTGGTGGAGCCGAAGGAGAGTCTTCACAGTTGCCCGTACTGTTCAGGTCAGTTGATTACGGTGTAGCTTGTACATTTTTTCCATCTCATGGTGTACTAATCGAGGGATATAAAATTTGTAAATTTTTCTAATGCCTATTTTGAATTGATATATTTTATATACAATCTGTTAAGAAATTTTATTTATTTTTTTAGTGGTGTTGTTTCGTGTATTGCGAAGGATTAGTCGAAGATGTAACAAACTTTTTAACTAACAATTTACAATGAATTTCATAGAGTAGCTGGTTTGTTACATTTTCGAATAATTCTCTACTTCATGTCTCTATTATATTGCTCATTTTTTTTTTCAAATCATTCATTTTTCTTTATACTGTATCGACGAGAGTTTGTAATAAAATATTCTACCATCCGATATTTATCTGGTTTGTTTTAATTTGTTTATTAGGAACCTATAGAAACATAAAAATTTGCTCTTTGAAAGGGAAGTAAATAGGTTGTTATAAACGCATGAAAAATATTTAATAATTTATTAAGGAATAAAATTAACAGTTTTACCCTATAAGCAAAAGCCCTTATAGTTTGTTTTTGTCATCGATTCTTATAATTACGCTCCTTAGAAACATTCCCACTGGTTACAAATTACATTAAACAAAGGTTTTAAACACGAAACTGTTAAACTTTTTAAATAAATTAACGATATATTGTTAATATAAACGAAGCTTTTATTAATCCAATATGCAACAATAAATAACGTAATGTACTAACGATTCTTCATGTTCAAGCATACAAACTGAAAATTACTCTATTCTAATCAAATAGCACCAAAATTGCTCTTTCATCATGAATTCATAAATGCTATCAAGCTGTATACATAAACATTATCTACAACAAACTCTCAAGTTCCCATAAATTACAAATGTAATACTAACAATTTAACCGAAATCTAACAACCCCAATAATAAGTAACAAATAAAATCACTAAAACATTTTCGGGGTACTCGTAGCTATCTTTTTTTTTATTATAAGGGTTCTTTGAATACGGTGTTTTACTAAATTTCCTAATCCACAGGCTGACAAAGAATTAAATGCCAAAATTTTCTAATTATACGACTATTCATTGCAAAATGTATCAAAAATAGTCAATGTAATTAATTTTTTCGAATTAACTATTTGAGTAGTTTTATAATTAATTCTTGATCAATCTGTGCACATCTAGTATACAATAAGGCAATGTTTTAACATCTTATTATTTAGAATATGGCTACATCATCAAGTTATTGCTCAACCAATCTTTATATCATATATTAAAATTCACAAAGCGCAAGCGTCTTTATACTTTAAATTAGTCTGTAAAGGTAAAAAAAAAATAAAATAAATAAGCTCTAAAAAATTAATAGACCTCTGAATAAACTAAATAAAATCATTTCAACACAAAGTTAAAAGTCAAAAACTGTTAAATTAAAAAAATTATTGAGTTGTTCGTTTTTTTTTGTCATTTTCTTTCTTATTTGTGTTCTTGTGTATACGTGTAGGTGTGCGTGTTTCGAAGTGTAAATGGTGAATTTACCAATGTTAGAAAAGGTGACTAAAATATATTCCACAATTCCACGTTTTCCATATATTTCAATGATTCAGTTTAAAGAGCGAAATTAACCCATTTCCTACGATGCGACTATAAATTTTGATATGATGATCATACGCGATATGTTATTGAAGTTACCTCAGAATAGACTTATTGTCTACATTAACGCCTATTCTAAGCGATACAAAAATGTCGATTTATAAGGCATAACTTTCCGTTCAATAAATTTTTTTATCACAGTTTCTTTTTTATCTAACAACTGCATATTTACAAACATTACATCACTAAAAAGAACGTCGAAAAATATCGAACAAAGAAATGGATTAACGACACTATACTCTATTTCCAAAATAGTAGGCACTAAATTCTTGGAAATATTGTCGCTTTTCTTATTTATTACATAATCCTTGCTCTTCGTAAGGTATGATCTTTTTTCCATCTCAGTTTCACCTATGATTAATGTCAAATGACGTCATGATTGATTCCTGATGGAATTGATGTATGTGAATATAGGAACAAATTGCTGGATGGTTGGAAATTTTGACGTTGACGTTGACATTGACAATTTGAATTTTTAAATGTGAGGGAAATTATAAAAAATGGAGTTTTATTTGATTGCTAAAAAATATGTTATATTCATCCGATTCATCATCAGAACCTGAAAGTGAAGAGTCCTCAAATAACAGTGACAGTGATGAGTTATTGGCACTATTTTAAATAAACAAAGAAATCAATAAAACTCATGCAATAGCAGATTTCGGAATCCATTGCAAATTTCAAAACCAGCAAAACAATGACCGATCATAAACGAAACCGATCATGGAATGAAAAATATAGGTTATAATTCATCTGTCAACCAGATCCATCCTCTTCAAAATCCGATTAATCAGATGACTAATCGCTGTTTCATCGATGAGAAAAAGATCGTTGACAGATGACAAACGTTTAAAAAATCGCTGAATAAATGAACAGTTTGACGACATCGGTTGTTCAACCGCTGAATAAAAGATCACACCTTAATTATTAGTCTCCTGCTGATTTTCCCGTCAAACACACTTGTAGCCTACGATATTTTCCATACGCCATTATCGCAATCATTTCTGAGAATTTAGTGCCTACTATTTTGGAATTAGTGTACATATACCAAAAACTGACCAACCCCAGCCTCACAACCAAACATCCGACATCCGCCGTCCATTTAACCGGCGAGCTTTAACCCGCCAGTTAACCAGACAAACATCAATCAAAGCGCTTACGCGAGCTTAGCTTTAGCGCAATCCGGACAGATGATGTCCTCCTGATCGGTGATAAACCCGCGACCTACCAAGCTCGTTCTGCACGAGGCGCAGAAGAAGCAATCGTTGTGCCAATGGCGGTCCTCGAACGAGATGAACTTGGTGCCGCCGATGCCGGTGATCGGCTTGCTGCAGGCCGTGCAGCGCTTCGCGAACAACTCGCCGAAGCATTCGGCGCAGTAGGGCTTGTCGTCGCGCGACGTGAACCGCTCGCCGGCCAGCGATCGCTGGCAATGCGTGCAGGTGAAGCACTCTCTGTGCCAGGGCTCGTTCTTGTACGTTACGCCGCCGCTGGTGATCACCTTTCGAAACAATAATCCCAAGTCGGTTAAGATGAATCGAGGAAATTAATCAGGACATACACTGTGTTATTTATAAGATGCGACATAGGGATTCCTGTACAAATGTGTCAAAAGCAAGCTAACTTTTTTACCAAATAACGTTCGTAAAAAATAATGACAGATTTGAAAAGATCGTCAAAAAATAAGTCGAAATAGACGTTAAATTTTATTAAATTCGTTCTGGTTTAATAAAAAAATGTATAATTAAGTTGAAAAAAGTCAAACGTCATAAATGTGTCATTTTTATGTCACTATCTAATAATTGTAAAATGGGCGGAGTTAACTGGGATGGTTTACGCTCGGAAATTCAAAAATTTTAGCGGGAAGTAATGTGGTTCAATCCCCGAGCAGTGAAGACATTTTTTCTTTTGTTTTTTTGGGTTTTTTCTAATGTTTTTGTCTAAAAAAATGTTAAATAGAAATATTTAAAATAAGGCGAGCTTATTTGAGATATAATTTTATTTTTATTTAAATAAAAGCTCCGACCATTAAGTGTCAATTTTAATAACGCAAAATCTCGTTAGTAGGTAGATCCTTTAAAATGATGCCATATTTTAATTCTTGACAAAAAAAAAACATTAAAAAAACAAAAAATGCCGAAGAAAAAAAGAAAAAAAATTTCAGCACTGCGTGGGATTGAACCAGATTCCTTACCGCTTGATTTTTCAAACTTCAGAGCGTAAACCATTCCAGATATCTCCGCCCCTTTTAACAATTATTAGATAGTGACATATGACGTATGACTTTTTTCAATTTAATTATACATTTTTTTATTAAACCTGAACGAATTTAAGCAAATTTAATGTCCATTTCGACTTATTTTTTTACGATCATTTCAAATCTGTCATTATTTTTTACGAACGTTATTTGGTAAAAAAGTTAGCTCGCTTTTGACACATTTGTACAGGAATCCCTATGTCGCATCTTATAAATAACACAGTGTATTTACCTTGTTGCATTTGATGCAACGCGTCGCGAACTTCTCCTCGTAGCATTTGGCGCAGTAGATTTCCTGTTCGCGAGGAATGAAGCTCTGCGTGCCGATCGGTACTTTGCACACGCAGCAACAGAAGCATTTCTCGTGCCATTGTCTGGTCTTGTATTCCATCTTCTTCGTTCCTGCAATGTGGAAAATGTTGTTAGACATAAAAGGATAGGATTTGCGTGCTTTCGAACGATGAAAATTACTACACCAGAGATGGTAATGGTTGGTGCATAGAAGGACCAAAAACCAAGAAAAGCTCTTGAACAAACGAAATCCATCTTAATTCATGTAAGGACAATAGAGAGAACTACTCCAGAGATGGTAATGGTTGGTTCATGGAAGGACCAAAGAGCAAGAAAAGCTCTTGAACAATCGAAACCCATCTTACACCATATAAGGACAATAGAGAGAACTACTCCAGAGATGGTAATGGTTGGTGCATAGAAGGACCAAAGACCAAGAAAAGCTCTTGAACAATCGAAACCCATCTTACACCATATAAGGACAATAGAGAGAACTACTCGAGAGATGGTAATGGTTGGTGCATGGAAGTATCAAAGAGCAAGAAAAATCTCTTACAAATTATGCAATAAGGAACCTGATCCACATGTAATGGATCAAAGAATACAGGAGAATCATTCAGTACATGTCCTGCCAAAAACCAGCACGCTCTATTAACTTTATTTGCCGGGAATATATAAAATAAATTGCGACGTTTCAATCAATTCCCACGCGTAGAAAACCTGACGCATCGTCGATATTTTCATATACCACATCATGTCGAGGAATAAATACGATCCAATGGAGTATTTGAATAATGTCGGTACGGATTGAGTCACGCGAAGGATTCATCCATTTTTAGGAACTTGACCTTAAAACCGCCGAATCGGGACATTTTATATTGAAAAATCGCCTGCTTTCTATCATTTCGTTCGTACAAGGAACAGACCCGAGCGAAGCAGATACATTTTAATGCAGACCTAATTCGACGAGCGTGTACCTGGTGAACGGAAAAAAATATTTCCTAATTGCGATTACTGTTTCGCACAAGAATTACATTTGTTATAAAACTAATCCGACTTGTATACATGTTATAATTATTGAACGTATAGGCGTTTTCTGTTAACAATTTCAATTAATTAACACTGATGCAAATGATTAGAAAAATGCCAATCGCACCACTATTGAAAGTGCCAGCTCGTGAAATTATTGGATATAAAAATAGTCATGACCTGAATTTTCCTATGAATACCTGCAATTCGCGTGTTGCATGTCTCGATGATATTTTTTTTTATTAAATTTATAGTTTACACTCCTAGTTTATTTCGTGGGTATACGTACAAGCCCACACTTTCGGCTCGAACGATTTATAAAATCGCTTTAATAATGACTCGATTATGCCTTTAGGACAGAGTGTAAATCGAAAAATAAAAACGTATAAAAAACACACTTTCCCTCGTGATTTGCCATGTAGAGAGGCGTTGTAAAATTTCGATACAACTTCAGGAATCTCCCGAAGAGACCCAGCGATTTGCTTAGCGCTGAAAGTTTACACACGGGACCTTTATATCCTACATAAAACTCGCTATTTATTACACCGAGAGAAAAAGTACTGCCACATGTTCTTCGAAAGATACAGAGCTTTATTTCTACGTATCCTGTTTCAAAGCAACAACGTAAACAAATCTCATAGCGTTTCTTTCCCATAAAAATCCCCCGGGGGTTTTATGGTTATGGTTAACATTGAATCAAAATTAGGTTTGTTCCTACAACAGTCAGAAATGGCCGGTGGTCGTCAGGAGTCTGCGCAGTAACAATTTAGGCGTTCCAACAAACTCCACAGACATCTCTGATTCTGACTTGGTTAACAATTTATTGTTCCAACAGTTTAAGGGACTGGTTTTGTGATAGTCAGAAAAATTTGCTGATAGTACAGAGATTTAGAATCCGGCGCAAGCGCATTTTTAATTCGGGTTTAATTTGTATTTCTGAATATAGGTTAATTATTAGGTTATGTTGTTTGTTGTTTTTGTTTGATACTTGGTGAATATGTAATAAATGTAAAGACTGTTCCATCAAGAAATCGGAAATTTGATTAGACCATTCAATCATAAACCGCGCATGCGAAATAGAAGAGTCAGAAACTTATTGGTAAAAAATCAGTGACTTTTTGTAGGAACTATTGTAGGAATTATTTCGCGCAAAGATATTCGGTTTCACATCGGACAATAATCACCTAAAGGCAAGCTGGTGGGATCGCCTTGGAAACAAGCGGGTCCCAAGCAACATTTGAAGTTGCTCTTCTCGCCGGGAAGTTGCATGGACAAAATGGCGACGTCTTCGTTCTTCTCCTTGGCCCTTCTAATTCTCTCTTCTCCCACGGTTTTCGTTTGCAAGTTCATGCGTTTGAACTGATCGCTCATCACGTCCGCCATATTTCTTCTTTTTCCCTTTCGACTGTCGCCGGATTTTCAATGTTCACATTTATAAAAGCGACCGCTCGATACTCGCGCTAGTACTACCGAACGAACGAGGATTATGAAATAGTACCCTAATTTGAAATCTACCCACTACCTTTCACCCACTTGTGGAACGATTAGGAATTATTATAGGCGAGTATTGTGGTGTGTTGTTTTTCGAAAGTTCACAAATTATTGAGATGGTTATGAAGTGGTCGATAAAATTAATAATTTTATTAGTGCAGGTAATAAATTTTAATAAAAACAATAGTACTAGAGCAGGATTTCGAAAGTTACGTTAATTTATGAATCATTTATGTAAATTATTGGTTTGTAAATTAGGTTATTTCATAATATCGCTCATAACGGTACTACCACAAATGGTTTTTTTTTTTAAATATTAATCATCTATTCATGTGTATTTAAGTGGTAAAATTATTAAAGAATTCTGAATGTACCAGAACTCTTTTTAAGTGGAATACAGTTGAAACAGAACAAGCTTTGTTCAATCAAAAGAAGTGACTCGACTATACAGGGTGTTTCACAACTTATCCGACAAATTCTAACCACATATGCACTATTATGAATCAAGTTAATTTCCCAAAAAAAAATGTAATAAAAGTCTTACAGAAATCGAGATAATAAAATAATAGTTTAACAGTTCAATTACTTATACAACATGTTCAAAATTGTTCCCATCTACTGCAATGCAAGCTTGAGTGTTTGTTTTTTTTGTTTTAACCATTGTTTTGGTGCAACATTTGCTACAGTAAAGTATTAAGGCAAAATTATGAACGCAAAATGCAGTATTTATTTTTCAATTTTTTATTGAAACTCGGGTTTATAATTTTATTTCTGTAGGACTTTTGTTACATTTTTTTTGAGAAATCAACTTCTCTCTCTTTGAGAAATCTCAAAAAAAATGTAATAAAAGTCCTACAGAAATAAAATTATTAAGCCGAGTTTCAATCAAAAATTGAAAAATAAATACCGCATTTTGCGTTCATAATTTTGCCTTAATACTTTACTGTAGCAAATGTTGCACCAAAACAATAGTTAAAACAAAAAAAAAACATTCACCCAACCTTGCATTGCAGTAAAATGGGAACAATTTTGAACATCTTGTATAAGTAATTGAACTGTTAAACTATTATTTTATTATCTCGATTTCTGTAAGACTTTTATTACATTTTTTTGGAAATTAACTTCTCTCGTAACAGTGCATATGTGGTTAAAATTTGTCGGATAAGTTGTGAAACACCCTGTATAAAAAATCGAAAGTGAAATTAATGCACGATTCCTTTCAAACTTAAAACTGTTCATAAACAACACACAAATTTACTAAATAATTCCATCCATTAACACACTAATTTAACGAACATACCACCGGGTAAAATTCTACCAAACTAATCTTAAATACCCACAATTTTTGGAAACCTTCTATGAGGTACTAAAAACCATTTAACCCGGGGTCACACTAAATATCCGACGAGTTAATGAACTTGCTCTTTACAAGTAGAGTAGGTATTTCAACTAAACTAACACGATGTGCAGAGGTTACGCGCGTATGTGAATATATATAATATATAATGTGTGCGAGTTTGTCGCGACGCGAGAGCTTCTCTTCGCGAAGAACTTCGAATATGAACTAAAGCTGAAAAGCATTTTACAAGATCCCCGACATCGTCAACAGACGTCGACAGCGGTAGGTACTTACCTACACCTATTAAAACGACAAAACCTACCAGGTTGGGTGATCCGACATCTAAACTACGAGCCGGCATGCGATATGTTTTGTATCGGTCGGAATTTTGATTGGTTTTTCTTAATTTTTTTAATGCTCGCCTTTGAGGTATAAAAGACCTATTCAGTTTACGAAAGAGAGTGATGGAGTTATTAGATCAACATAAGAGAATAAAAGAAGCAAATATGTTTTCTAATAAAAAGTTTCGGGAAATCGACTCGACAAGAACGCCGGTTTTTTGAAATAAAAGAGTGAAAATAGAACGTGGAAAGGACGCTTTTAAAATATGCAAATACGAGGTAAGATATTTCGACAAATAACTGAATTTAAATGCACAATAATTTCGAATAAAAATCTGCGTATATCGTTTCTCAAGACCTATTTAGTTTACGAAAGAGAGTGATGGAGTTATTTGATCAACATAAGATAATAAAAGAAGCAAATATGTTTCACGCGCAATCTGTGGAACCATTTAAAATCTGCGCAAACGTAAGTGCAAGAGAGATGAGATATTTGGCCTATTTCATTGCTGATTGACAGACCCATTGAATGATTCTTAGATGAAAACTGTATTAAATATAAAAAAGAAGAGACCATCTTCAATCTTAACCCTATTTTGTTGCTTGTTTCCGTTTGATGTTTGTTTATGTTCAGTGTGTATTATTTTTTAACAGTATTTGTATTATTTAGTATATTTATTTATAAAGGTTATAATTTTTTATATAGGTCAATGGGATTATTTCTTTGAAATATATATTATAACAAACCGATCAAAAAGCATTTTCGGAAACTTTGTACTAACCCTCTTACTCTTTCTTAGACTTGACCTGTATGTAAATATTAAGCCTAATCCCCTTTCTGGGCAGTAAAAACAAATTTGTATCGAGTCATCGCGTCCATTACAAATTAAATCCGACGGATTATTGGATAA